CACCTTTTGAAGACTATTGCACCCCGACGACGACTTGCCTATACCCTGCCTTAGTGTGAGACACTTGGAAGGTATAGAAGAGACGACCCGTTACATAGGGTTTACAGAGCGGTGCGGATAGTAGGTGTAGCTATATTAATTGCTTTCTGTCTTTTAGCAAGGGCTAAAGCTAGTTTATCCGTAAGCTTCTTTATCTCTTCCTTCTAGTATTTACGGACAGCTTATAACTATGCCTTTAGTTGGTCGCTCTATTATTTATATTCCTTAATTTCTAATTCTAGGGCTTATATGCGGAGTACGGCTTAGTAGTTTTTAGTAAGGCTTTTCTAGGCGGTATTAATATATTTATATATTTAGCGGCAGTACTTATACTATTTATATATATGGTTAGTAATATAGGCGGCGAACGCGGATTTGCTGTCCGGCAGGACTAAGGGAAAAAGGTAGGATATTAGGTCGGCGGTGCAGGTAGATAGCTAGGTAGGTAAAGAGCTATATAATATCACGGTCTCGGGCGGCAGGATTGCCCTAGCTAGCTCGGGCAGGTAGGTAGAAGTAATAACTAAATTTACTACGTGTTCTATAATACACGGCAGGCAGGCAGGTTAAATAATAAGACGTAGCTTAAAGAGCTATAAGGAGGCAGGGCGGCGGTCGGCAGGTATACTCCTGCTAAGGCTCGCATAGGCCCTTGCAATAAGGCCTCTCGCCGGGTCCTAATATTACGTGTTACGCTGTGTAGCAAGCTTTACCGTTTAAGCCGTAACAGGGCGGTTATAGAAGCTTACTATTGCGGATAAGAAAGCAGTATTTTAGTAGCTTTTAGATAAGGGCTGGCGCAACCAGGATAAGATTAGGATATAGCTTAACCTAGAGTATAGTATTAAGGTGTTTTAGCTAACTATATTGCGCATAATAAAGAGGAATAGATAAAGTAGAAAGCTGGCTTAGTGCTAGTTAAACCGCGCTAGTAAGAAGTTAAGGCGGGTGTACCTTAAGGTTACCGGTTGCTATAAACTAGAGGATCTAATCTTTTTTAATAAGTCTATATTTAATAAGAAGACTAGCTAGTACTACTGCGTATACGCGTTTATTAGACACCTAGCGCGCTATAATATAAATATAAATTAAGGATATATATAGAGTATATGCGCGGTAATAAGTATAGCAGGCTAGCTGCTATATACGGCTGTGTAAGAGGGCTACTTTAATACAGAGCAGTTCTATAGCTAGATTATTAATACTCTTCTGCCGGCTATAGAAGGCGAGTAAGGGTTATCAGGGAGTAGATCTGCAAGAGTACCGCCTCGTCTTCTTCCTCCTCGTCCTCCTCGTCCTCCTCGTCCTCCTCTTCCTCCTCTGGCCGGCGGTGGTGGGTCCGCGGGAGTGTCGGTATCGTCAGCGAAGGCTACGCGATTGCTTCTGCGTGGTGGCACTAAAACACCAAAAATCGTCAGTATACAAGCTCTATATGCACGCGAGAAGCCTCACTAATTATTGAGTTAGGCACGTTTAAGAGGGCGTTGAAAATGGGTAGATATCTAGGTGTGATCCCACGCGCGCGCATACAACTTTAGGTGGTGTGGTGCAGGGAAAACCGCCAAGCTTTCTACGCACTTTTGAATACGACAAATTAGGGCTCCAGTGGATGACCGCCAAGGTACGGAGGCAATCCTCTCGGCCATAGTCTGGAACCTTCAATCGACCTCCACTCCTCCGTATCACACATCAATCATCTACATACAGCATCTACAAGCTATGAGTACTGGTACTGGCATCACTTCGCCTTGTAGACTATGGCTTCGAGAAGTTCTTTGATCCATCCGCCACGATGTCACCGCATTCACCTTTGTCGTTCCTTTCAACAACGACTATTGACTGTACCATCTATCAAAGAATCTTAAGGCTCTCCATTCTTTTCTTTGTCTAATTAGGCCTTGTTATAAGTATAGGCCGATAAGACACTATTGAAAAGGATATCTGCCAGACTGCAAACATAGTAACTCCATCTATCTATCTATCACGTTTCCACTTGCATATTCAGCACGCTCTTGTAATTCATATCAGGCCTTCCTTCCTCTTTAATTGAGACCAAATGGATCCTAGCACTACGAATGGTGGCTTTGCTGTTCAGGCACCACCTCCCGCGATCAACACCACGCGTCCCCAGGCTCATAAGAAGCCTCACAGCGAAAAGAGGCGCCCTATTGGAAAGAAGCCCGCGAACACAAAATTCGTGTCTCAAGAAGAAATTCGCGAGCATATCCAAAACTTTGTTGCAGTTTGGAATAAGCTTTCTGAAGATGAGAAGTCTGCTCTTCAGAAGGTCTTCTCGTATAATCCCAACACACTCTCTGCGAAGACACACGCATTTGTCTACGGTACCCCTAAGAAGTCTCTTGCGGATAGAATAACCCCTTCCGTAAAAATTGCAGTTCAGGAAGCGGAGAAGGAAGCCAGAAAGCTTGCTAAAGTTGAGAAGAGGAAGACAATCCGTGCTCAGAAGAATGGGGCAAAGGCTGTGGCTCAGCATATCCAGGGGAACGCACAACAGGTTTTGGCTACCGTTCAGGAGCCCATTATCCAGGAGCCTAAGGTTCAGGAAGCCAACTATGGCTTCAACCCTGAGAATTTCAAGGTTGAAACTGCGAACAATACCGCTACTGAAGCTCCAGACAAGTCTGACATAATCGACTATGAGGACTGATTTAGAGCACATTACTAGAAGGTTTAAATCTGCGCCGATGCACGCTATTTATGATTATACTTCTCATCTGGATTTCTGATGATGCGCCAGAGCACCTCACACCGTGGCAAGCATGTTCAGGGCAGACTTATGTCCAGTGATTGTAACTCATAGCAAGTATTAGTGGGTATAAGTTTTCTCTTTGACAGTTTTGTAGGTTAGATACACCAGCTTTTTACTATTATTTGTGACTTGGATCTTTCGATTCGTAGTGCTTGCTGCTCAATCCGGCACTTTTTTAATACCCTTCGTGTGTAACTAATACATATTAAGTCGCTAACTACTCGAGCAGTGCAATTTTAGCTGGAAAATGTCGAAAATGATATAACTTCACCGCACTTCGCTTCTTACGGTTTCCCGACCTTCACTCTTGGACTAAAGACACCTTTGGGTAACTGGAATGTTACAACATTGATGTTTAAGACCGAAGAAGCCAAATTAAAAGATTAGGGATGTATGAATTGGCGATGGAGAGAATTGACTGTGCAAGGAATGAAGTGGATGCGTGGTATCAGGCGGACTAACCTGCTTCAAACTTGCGGTGAACCTAGACGTGCTTTGGACTGCGTAACTCTCCATTGGTTATGATAAGTATGTATACGCTCTCTCGCCACTGTCAAGGGTACTTAAACACACTTCCCGAAATCTGACTTGAAGTTTGTTCGTTTGAATAATCTAGAAACTGATTGGCCAACCTCAAGCGACATTTTCTAAGGCTGCGATTCTGGGGTCAAAGAGCACGGGGTGAGATGGCTTGGAGTATGTTCGTCTGGGTATTTTGGTCTGCGTACGCTGGCTTGACACTGCCATGGGAGCCTCAGCATCTTTTGTATCTTTGAGGAGTGATGTGATGATAACTTTGAACATTTTAGAAATTCACTGGGCCTGTTCAGGCGGTGCTGTCACGCATTAGTAGAGTAAGCAGATCCCTGCTCAGTTTGTTCAGCACATCTTGGGACCACACTATCTGCAAAGGCCTGGTGAACGCAGAATCAAACGCGACGGCTTCTTCTTCTTCTTTCTCTCCACCACCAAACTCTTCCTCGGCCACCACTTGCAGGACTACGTCATCGGTCACTACTTCACCTCCACTCCACCTCAAACTTCAAAAATGCACAACATGGCTCCTCTGTATGTAGTTGGTAGAGCTGGCCACGCCATGGAGCTTCGCTCCGACGACATTGGAGCTGGTGCGACATCTACCACAACCGACAAATCCCTTCACATCAAGCCTAGTATCATGATCGCCATCGTCCTCGTTGCGATTGCAGGAACTACCCTCCTCTGGATTATCTCCTACCACGCTGTTCTACACTTTCGCGATCCAACAAACCTGAGCCAACTTCCAACCTTTGGCAGCCTGATCCGTCGTCGAGGTGCCCGACAGGCCAGAACTCATACCGACGGAAGAAATGAATCGACGCAAGAACTGAACCCTGGATGTCGGTTTGAAGGCGTGGAGGTGGGATCATACGGAAGTCTTAGTGTTCTTCTATACGGATTCACTCACAATTTGGCAGGAGTACAACGAACTTCGCGACATCCGTATTCGAGCCACCCGTCCCATGCATCAACACCCACGCATTCAACGTCCGCCGCGTGCCTACCATCGTTTCGCTGACGATATCGATACTCTGCCATCATATTCACCAGCGCCGACTTACGTGTCGTCGATGCCCGGATCTCCGAGGTCAGCTACTCATAGTTCGTCAATGATGTCGTTGGTTGTTGAAATCGACGAATCCTCGACTGTCGGCCGACAACAGCACCATCACGATCGCACTCGAACCACGGTGACCATCTTCCCACCGCAGCCGCCGACGCATCAGGTGGTGGACGGAACCGATTATGCATCGTTTCCAACGGAGCGTGGCGTTCAAGGACTGGGCGCCCGCGTTCATCACGAGCGCACGAACAATCAGATCCAGATGCCTTCTGCAAACAAGAAGCAAGGTGCTTCGCACAACTGAGGATCTGACGACGGACTGATGTACTTGATAACGTGGCGAACTTCGTGGGATTGCCTTGAGAGGTAAAGAAGAAGCATGGAATGCTTTGTTTCGTGGTCTATTGGCTCTAGCTGGCCAGCATGTTAAAAATTGACGACTGAGCAGGCATGATCCAGGTATGACTTTGATAACGGTCTCTCAATTACCAAAATTCGATTCACCAAACACATAGTCTGAGTCAATAAGAGTTGGTAATTAAAAAATCCTTCTCCTCATCTTCGTGACCTTCCCTTTGCCGTTTCTAAATGTCTCATCTCCTCAAAAACACGTCGTCCTTTGATCAATAAGCTATGGGATCCCAAGTGATAATCGTAGACCCAGGCTTTGCTTTTGACATTTAACAACACATACGCGCCCCGATTATTAACTCTATGCATCCGCGGAGCCAGGAGGTTACCTCTTATGATGGCCTTTAGGCTTTCAAAGGCAAGAAAGCATTGCTAGTGTGCTTTGTTCACTCATCTCACACAATATATGCACAATGGCACTTCCTTAGAGCTTTTAAACCACGCCGTTGAAGCTTCAAATATACTACACTCAACTTTCAAAAGTTCCACCTCCGCAGGAATGATGCTTCATCGCCATTATCGCTATTGGAAGCATTTCCACTCGGTGAAAACGCATTCGAGCGGCATCCAAATTCTCGCTTCGAAGCCAGGCCAGCTCCCGAAACCTCGCATGAATCAAAAAATGGTCATTACAATTTCTGTCGTCGTTCCCGTAGTCTTTCTGCTGATGTTTTTGTATGTGATCAACAAATTTTGCCGCTGGAGAGCAGGAAAAATTGGTCGCCAGCAGAGGGAACTTGAAATGTAGATTAACCAATTGGACCGCCTTGCTGCGCACTACCTCAACGCTGATCTAGAAGCAGGTTCTAAGACAGATTTTGAGTCTTTAGGGCTTCGAATGCCACCGAGAACTCCCCCGCTGGCTGGTGTTGTCGTCGCCCCATCGAACTCACAACTCAATGATCAAGCAGGAATTGATTGTGATCAGAAACTCTTCGCACAAAACTAAAGGGGTCCCTCAGCGATGGATGGAGATCGCCATGAGTCCGCTTTGGGCCTTCGGTGACGTACTCCGTCAATGTCATTTGGGCCTTGCGGAATTCACTGCGTCTGCGACAAGATAATTCTCACAACGAGATTTTGAGCGCGTAGTGATCCAAACCCAAACAGAACAACTCGAGTAGGCTCACTCGCCTTTCGCGTTATACGTGTTCGTCTAGAGATGAGCAAAATTCGTGGTTACCATAAGTTATATTCTAGACGTCCTAAGTCAAGCGAATATATTTGCCGTGTAGTTGAGGATACCAAAGGTCTCCCGACACAGCATCCAGATCGAGGTCGGATGTTGCGTTCCGTTCTTTCTGAACCTCATATCCGCCAAATCAAACGCTGTAGATGAGGAGAGGGTCCTTCTGTATTTCAAACAATTGGCAAACGCTTTGGGAAGTTTGTCCAAATGATTGTCCTACATATTTCCAATACATTCTCTCATCTTCTTTCCAATACACCATCTCTTCTTCTTTCCAATACGTGTTGATGAGCAAATGATATATATTGTGCCTCCGAAGGGTCTTGGTGTTCGTTTATACCATCCTATAAGCTTGACTCGAGAAATGTGATCTATACTCTCTACAGACAGTACAATTGCCCCTCGGCTGGCTTCAATCTCTTAAAGCAATCACTTTTTCCATGGAAGACCAGGCGACAGTATCTCTGAGGGGGCTTGTACGAGTGCAATGCGATACAGCGCATTGTTTAGTTGGAGCTGTCCTTACCAAAAACCTGACATTTTGCCTTCACATTGTCTTGTCTCGAACACATTCACAGGTGGACGGTCACTTTAGATGATAGTGCAGGTACCTGATTAGTGAAAGCCAAAATGCTACCAGCAGGACTATAAGAACTACCATTTCTGCACTGAAGCTGAACATTCTCTCCATCCACCACTTGTATCCACCACCCACCACCTACCACCTACCAAAGTACAACACAATAGCATGCGGCCCAGCTCAACCCGCATCAAATCAAACCTCAACTGCATCTGTCACTAGAAACATGGCAGACCACTCCTCCCCCCGCTTTGCTGGCTCGAAAGATCTAGCCGTCAAGTTGGACTTCTATCAGAACATCGAATCCACGATGCAAGATGAGCCTAACACCGAATTAGACTATGAGCCTGACGGGTCCAATATTCCTCAAGCCATGGCATATAAATTCCAATCTGCTGGGCCCCAATCTGTCGACTGGACTACGCGCGAGTCTCTTCCTGCGGGCTCCGAGCCGCCAATCGAGGCATTACTCGAGGATTTCGATTGGTCCATAAAATTTCAAGAAGTCTCCGAAATTATGAGCCTCGTTGAAGGAACGGATATGGAGGATTCCGGGAGCTCCATGCATGAAGATACCTCTCAGCTCGCGGGAGACAAGTCGAAGAAGACTTACGATAAATTCAAGGATGCGCCCGGTATGAATCTAGACTTCCCCACCAACGCCAACATTCTTGCAGCTGAATTTGCTGCGTTCCTTCCAAACGCACGGAACGTGTATCCCGTTGCAGAGCGGTTGATCACCAGTGGGTTCGATTATCGTGTATTTGGCGTACATGATCCACACCTTCCGGAACGTGTCGGATGGTCTCATCGACACCAACTCGATCCTAAAAGGAATGCAAATCGCAATGCGGTTGGGCCCGCAAGCTGGGCACCCGCGCGATAAATGGACACGGGCGAAACAAGCCGATGAGGTCCCAAGTACTTGGAACGAGAAGAACGTTAGCACGGCAGGGTACCAACCACGATATCGCACTCATCCTAACAGGAAGACAACGAGCATCACAACGGGACTAATGAGGCTCGTTGATCCGATGCCATTCAAGGACCTAGCCAACGGTGTTAAGGAGTTGCCTCAGGGAGAAGACTGCGGAGACCTGACCTGCTGCGTTAGTTACCATCTCCGTCACCCGAACGAAGACTGGACCTACCCGACGGACTTTGCTAAGTTGGTTAATCACATTGGCGGCCTGATGCACATCTCTAACCACCACACCGACCATGAAGCCTTCTCACGATGGGAAGCGGCCATGAAGTCTAGCATGGAGCTTGACAAGGAGGTGAATTGAGCAGAATGAGCCTCTGTGGATGGAGTAGACTAGAGAGCGACTATGGCACAAAGATTCCTTAAGAGCATGAAATAGTACTCTAGAGACACCCGAGCACTGTTTGGGGTATTGATACTTGAACTACAGTTATACATTGAGCCTGAGGCGGATTTGGGAAGAGTTGTACGTCGTTGATCATTCTGACGAGAAATAGATGGTCCTTGATGATTAGGGTCCTTGATGATTAGGGTCCTTGATGATTAGAATGCAGTACTTCTCACATATGAGCAGATGTTCGTGATCCATTGCAAGAGTGACGACGTGAGCAGACAAAAAGAAAAGAAAGGGCAGGTCTGAGAGTTCAACTCAAGACAACAAAAAGAAACGCGCGCAGGAAACACTTTTTTACACCATTCGTAACCCTTTTTCCAACCAAATGTTGAATACTTTACCGCTTCACACATGTATATGTTTGAGGTAATTTGAACGAACCTCCAATCTGCAGTACGGGATGCTACGACGATTGTTCAATGGTGCAATTAGCATGCTCTGCTGTGAGGTTGGGGAAGTCGAAAGGGCGTAATCCACGTCTACAACAATCGCTGTCGTAGAGTAGTGCTTTCCAGCAACCAAAAACCTTAGCGACCTTTCGCATGGTTGCTGTCGCGTTTCTTTTGCTTGGAGGTTCGACACCTGGGTGCGCGCGCACTTTCCATTCGCTCCTTTCGATAGCTCCGTGCTGGTTATACCGTCCACATGTGACAGACGTGCGCGTGGGTTCCCCGGAGTGTCCATGAAACGTACAGCGTGTGAGAATAGAGGCCGGCTCTAGCATAGATTTGGAAAATAAGATGCCCCACACGTTATAGCTATGCTTCCTAGGTGTATCATCAGCTCGCTGTGGTGGTACTACTGGCGTGTACAGGACACGGCATCGTTACAGCAGCTCCCGAGGCCGTAGTGTTGCCAACTACGAAGTAGCCCCTTTCCCACATCACGTGAAATTCTACCTGTTAAAGGGTGAATATTATGCATAGCAAGTTGGCTTTCTTAACCCCACATTCTGCAACTATATCCGAGTTATTTTAGCCTCGGTGGGACTCAGTGTGCCAAAGGCTAGCTTCGTGGCAGTTCACGTGATTGCTTAGGTCCGCATATCTCCTTGGCTTTTTCAACGTCACCTCGTCACTCATAGACGGCTCTTCGTCATCATACTTCCACACATTCACACTTATTGACGTCCATCAAGGGTAGGACAGCTTTATGGTGACTAAAGGGACATATTTTTGATAACTCTTGATGAAGGAAGTTGTCTCTCGATTCCTGTGCAGGTCGATCGATGGCGCATGCATGGACAATTTCGGTTCGAAGCTGTGTCATTACCTTTCTTAGCTATTTAGTATCTCTGGCTATCAACTTTTCTCGCTAAATTGGTGCTGCTGAATGTACTCATGACTCTGCTACCCTCGAGGGTTCTCTCTCAAGAGGATCAAGGAGGAGTAATCTCTCAATCTTCAGGTTTTCATTGGCAAGAGCCATGGCTGTCTCCGGAATCTTCTATTCCATTGTGAAGCTCCTAGCAGCGTCAACGTAGATTCGAGCGTCATACATGTTGGTCTCGCGTTGAAGGTTAAGATGCGTGGCATCAGCCTGGGCCTCTCATTGATTTTCAAGGCAACTTTCCATGGTAGAGTGTACGGCATCATACAACGTTACACCGCTGCACGCTCGGGCTTGCATATCGGCCATACCCCCTCCCGGACCGCTCTCAAATCAACATCACGCCCGTTTCATCGTAATCATGACCACGTCATTTCTCACTTTGAAGTCAGTCCTGGTAAAGTGGAGAACGATGCCTTCAAGCTTTGGACAATCGCTCCGAATTAGTTGATTGGGAACGTGTGGAGTTCATTACGTCTATATAAACTTCTCCAGCTCAACTTCCTCCATAGTTCCTAAACTCCACCTTTTTTGCTATCGAGAGCCTTATCACGAGAAGGTAACACCCTCGATACTGACAGAGCGCGATACAGCACTCCGATCTCGGCAAATGCTCCGTCATCAATCAGGTGGGGGCATGCGCAGCCACGTATGATCATATGAACCTCCCAGGCTTATCTTCCCCCGTCCTTCCTCTATCCTTCCTACTCTCCACTTTCCTTGTTCTCACGATCGCAGATAAGACAGGTACCTGTTGTCAATCGATCGGCAGTGTGTGCAGCCAGGTATGATTACAAGAACCCCTCCAGCTCAACCTCCTCCATCCTTCCTACGCTCCGCTTTCTTGTCGTCGAGATTACGAACTTCCACAATGGATATCTAACTCTAAAAGGTCGCCTAGTAATCAATCAATCGGGAGCATGCGCGGTCACGTCGACTACATGAAGCTCTCTAGGTCAGCCACCTCCTTCCTTCCTACGCTCTGCTTTCTTGGCACCGAGATCACAAACTTCTACTATGGAGTTCTAAATTTCAAAGGCCGTCTGGTATTCAATCAATCGGGAGCATGCGTGGCCACGCGCGACTATAAGAAGCTCTCTAGGTTAGTTTTCTCCATCCTTCCTACACTCTACTTTCTAGTCGCTGAGATTACAGACTTGAAGACAAAAAATAGCACGTCCATGCGCTATAGACGATGAGGTAGGCGCCCAGATTGCTCATTTCTTGTGCACTACTTCTCTAAGATTGTCCAGGAGCAAGACTAATTCCTAAATAATCCCTCTGTCGAAGTATATGGATCGTCGCGTTTCGCGTCCATGCTTCATCCCTAAGTCACGTGACTACACCATTTCAACCTCATGCGCCGACACTATATGAGAGCGCCGGCCTGGCGCTTTCTAACAGTACTACCATCATATGTAAAACAGTGCTCTGGTGCGATGCGCGCATCTGGCGTCGAAGTCGCTGTCGCGCGCGCAGAGCGTGGCTCGAGCGCGGTCCCCAGCCATCCTCTACTATTTCTGATGAGCGCCGCCCGATTGGGATTTTTCTTTAAAAGAAGTGAGAAACCTGCCCGTCGCTCGTCACCCTCCATCCCACGAACTTCACACACATCCTCCGACATTCAGCGATTGTTTCACCACATCCCCAGATCCCGTCGTCAATCCGTCACCATGAGCGACCCTAACGAGTTCCGCGTCCCCGAGTACCTCTTCAAGCGACCGTTTGAGATGCCCGACCTTCACCACATCAGCGGCGACGAGATTCTCGGCCAGCACAGCCTGGGATCGTACTCTGCTGGACAGAACTTCGAAGGTGAGCAATCTCCCATCTCTCCCGCTACCTTGCAAGCAGCTAACGAAGAGGGATTAGGATACGGCGAATCTCTCGGTTCGAACAATCCCTCTACCGTCTCAGACAGCATTCTTGTGGCCTGGGAAGTTACAGCCACAGTCTTCACGCTAGCTACCTTCCGCAAGCCTATCGCATTCCCCTCATCCTACCGCCTTCAGTATTCTATCGACGGAACGCAATTCAGGCTTTGTAATGGCGCCGACCGAATTCCTGTATTCCACGCCTCCGCATACTCATGCAAACGCACCACGTCTTGCAATTCCTGCCAGTCTTCTCACAGTCTTTGTGATGACTTGGACGGCTGTACACGCTGTGTTTCTCGTCTCGAAGGGCTCGACTGCTTCCCACAAGCTGTGGAGCGAGACTCAGCGCTGTACATGCGACCAGAAAAAATATTCCCTGCCTTCTACTCCGACACGGTTCGACCACACGACGAAATTGAAGTATTCAACGCATTCAATGTATTCAGCACACTCAACGACATTGAAGGATTTGAGGCTCTTAGCGACTTCCAAGTCACGCCGGTCAGCGCCACCTTCTCGGAAGCATACCCAGAGCTTTTCGCAAGCCCCGAGAGACAGATGAGCTCGCTTACTAGAGAAGACTTCCACCCATCGCCCGAGAGTACGATGGCTGCCATGTTTGTTCTTGCCCGCCATGTCTTGGGCCACGAACACCCACTCCTTCCCAACCGTTTCAACGTCGAGTCAGACTTCGAGCGGGACGACAGAGCTTCTTGGAGCTTGATGAACGAGAGCGGCCACTACAAGGTCAAGACCCCGCCACCAAAAAACTCCATCTTGAAGTTCTCCCCTGGACACGGCTCAGGAAATACGATTCAGGTCGAGGTTTTGTCTGGAGACTCGATGGAAGCTCCACGCTTACCGGACTACATGGTCGACTTACGCTTTATCCTCCCGGGACCCCACGCTACTTTCGACACTTCGTGCTACGAATTACTCTATTTCCTCCCCAATTCGTACCGTTGGCACCACGTCGCGTTGTACCTCCAGTACTGGGGCTGGACGAACCCAAACATCGCTACTTTCACCAATTGGACCCGCGCCTTGGTCGGTAAGAACGTCATCAAGCCCAACTCTCTGGGCCATCACTTCCGCAAAGCCAAGACAGCGCTTGATGCATCAACAAACAATGGCACCAATCTAGTGACGCTCTTGCCCTCCGCCTGGACCCCTCCGCGCCCCGCCCAGCAGAAGAAGGGCGACCCAGTGCGTGACCCGCTGCTCCGCGACCTGGCCGTTGGTGTTGACATATCCAAATGGCCTACCGGAAGCGACCGACGCCGCCTGACCCTCTGCGTGGAGTACGCGCTGATGAACCAACACAAGGGCGTCAGACTGAGCGACGCAGTGGACCTCAGCAAGAGACTAGACTTTGGGGCCACGCATTGCGAGGAACTGCCGCCAAATGACTTCCAGTTGTGCAGGGAGAGGGTGGAGCCATTGCTGACGGCGTACACCAAGAACGTCCTCAAGCCCTACACAAAGGCCAAAGGTTTGCCCGTGTACCACTAGGGTGGGTAGTTCCTTCTGTCGGTTGGCGTGGATGTTGGGTAGGTAGCCTAGTTTAGCCTGTGTGAGTTGGCATTTTGGGAGAGTAGGTACCTGTACGGAGAGCCCTTGGGCTGGTTAGCTTTAGTATGTGCTGGACACTGCATATTAGGAATGAGATCAATCCTTCGAATATTCGGGCTGTTTTGACTTGTGAAATCTGATTGTTTTGCTGTGTATGAGTGAATCTAGAGTGCTATTGCTGTGCTATCGTATCGTTTGAGGTCTTCCGAGCTTGCAAAAGGATTTAGGAGTGAATGTCATAAACCGCAGGGTTCATGTCTCATACGGTCGATATCTAGCGCTTTTCTAGCCTTGTAACACTGTCCGAGGTTGTCTGAGCCTCTGAAAATATTCGGAAGTGAATGTAATAACCCGCAGGGTTCAAGTCTCGTACGGTAGATATCCAGCGGGTTTCCAGGTCTACAGCACCGTCTGAGGCCCTCTAAGCCTTTGACAATTATTAGGGGTGAATGTAATGACCTGCAGGGTTCAAGTCTCGTACGGTAGATATCCAGCGGGTTTCCAGGTCTACAGCACCGTCTGAGGCCCTCTAAGCCTACTAAAATTACTAGGGGTGAATGTAATAAACTAAAAGGTTCAAATCTGATACAGTACCAAGACTCAAGTTTGGGCATTCCTTGAAAACGCTTGGGGTGACCCGATAGGTTCTCAAAACTTCAATTGCGATGTAAAAGCTGACGTAGTAGAGATTAGACTAACATTTGGCGAAGCTAACACCTGCTAGCTGGGCTACTCCTTGCGGTGGTGTCGATCGTGCAAGAATGTAGCTGGGGCTGTGACATATCCGTGTGCCCCAACTTATAACCTAGCACTTACGGTGGATATCCAGTGCTTTTCTGGCCTTGTAGTATCGTCTGAGGTCTCCCAAGCCTGTGAGGATCTTCAGGAGTGAATGTAATAAGCCGTAGAGTTCAAATCGCATTCGGTAGATGATTACTGCTTTTCCAGGCTTGTGGTACCGTCTGTGGTCTTCTGAGCCTGTGAAATTCTCGGGAGTGAATGTCATATGCCGCAGAGTTCAGATCTCACACGATAGAGACAGGACTGGTCCATAAGTCTGGGCACACAAATTATCATTGCGTGGCTTCGATCTTGCTTACTCGACACCACTGTGGGGAGTAGCTCAGCTAGTAAGTAGCCAGTTAGTCAAGAGGTAGTCTGGTTTGTAGTGCTTGAAACTTGACATTGCTCTTAGATTTTTGAGATCCTATGGGGGTACTCCAAGCAGCGGTAACCAAGTGTGCCCTATGGGCTGTCTCTGTATCTAGTTGTTTCCTCCACGTCCTCTACCACCCCGGCCCCTTCCCCTCCCCCTTCCTCTATCTCTTCCACCATTACCATCTCCTCTCCCCCTGTGACCGCCTCCTCTTCCACTATCGCCGCCTCCTCTAGGCCCTCCCGAGCTTGGCTGGCCTCGGCCTCGGCCTCCCCCTCCGCCCCGGGGCGCTGAAGGGAATCCGGATTGAGACGAGCCTCCAGGTTGTGGTTGTCTCCCATGTTCACGTGAATGATGCCGTCCTGATCTCGGCTGACCACCTCTGCCACTGGGCTGGGTCGGGGCACCACCACCTGGTGCATTACCGCTACCTCCCCCGGCAGTGGGCGGCGTGGCACTTGGTTGCGCTTCACCACCTGGTTGCTTGGGTTGGGTCCTTTGGGCGCCGTGTGGCGGAGGTGGGTTTCCGATTTCATGGCTTTTCGGTTTCTTTTCATCGGTATCAAATTTGGGGTAGTCTCGGTCATTATCGTCGATTAGTTCGGGCCTGCTCTTGTGCTCGTTCACTTCATCAAGATAGTCGCGTCTCTGAATTTGGAAGGTGCTGCCCCGATTCTTAGCTCTTTCTCGGATCGCTTTCACGAATCTGCTTCTTAACTCGTTTAGCCCTTTTTCCATCCCGCCATGTCTCTCCCCGCCCCATCTCTGGAAGATATGGGGTGGCACAAACCCTTCTCTAATGATTTGCTGATTAGTGTGCGTGAGGAGGACCCACAGGTAAGCTTCCCCTTCAATATCGAGTGGATAGTTACGTTTTAATATGTCCAAAGTCATAGTCGGATCATCTTTGGGAGGATAGCCGGCCCTCCACTTACTCTTCAGTGAATTTCTGGGCCGAATTTGCTTGTGCTCCTCTATCATAGTAGCGACTAGAGCAGGAGGTGGATTATCGTCTGGAGGCGCAGGTGGAACCTTGGGATATAATTTGGGGTTTATCGCATGGAGCATCCGCTGTGTGAAGACGCGGCCGGGGAAGGGATGATATTCGACCCAGTTGCCAGCTTCACTTAGCGGTATGGTGGTTAGACCCTCCACAAAACGTGGTTCGTGGTGCCATGCCTGAGGAATATACTTCAGTTCGTTAAACTCAGAGAAATCGCCCTCCTCCCTAATGTACGTGTGTCCTATAGAGTTAGGGCCCTGAACGATGGAGTAATTTGGATCATTCTTGTGTTGCTTGATCGCTTCTTCCATAAGCTCCTCACAGGTGGTCTGGTATATGAACCTTTTGTCGAGGTTTTGGTTTCGAAACCTCGAGGGACCGAGTCGCGACACGTTGATGAGTGTTGTGATCCTACTGAACATATGCTGCCAACCGGTTTCGCGGATGAGGGCTGCGAATCGGGGCCAGCAAAGAGCGTGATTAGGGAAATACACAATGAACTCTGCCAGTGTGATATCACCCATTTCGTTCCAAGGTAGAAGTACATCTGCCCTGGGTGCGCATTCCACAGGACCCATAGCGGAACGTGACAGCCTCGCATTGAAAACAGCAATGGGTTCCTCATAGTCTTCATCGTCAATCAGTGGGACTTGTAAGTCTTCAAAGCTCTCGTGGTGGATTGTTGGAAAAGGCTGATAGCCAGGCCATGTTAGGCACACATCCATGGGATCGCCCTGATTGTCATCTGCAACACTACTGCCATTGTCATTTTGACTTTCGAAAGAGTCTGTATTTACAGACTGCTCACTCTGGTAGCTAAAGGAACTTGGGCCGCCCCGGGGAGATTCATTCATCGGGGAAGCTATGCTACTCGCCCGGCGGCCAGTGAATTGTGCGTGTTGCGAGCCGGGATTAGCTGTTGCTTGGCTAGGGCTTGCTGTTCCAACAGGTGGAGCTGTTGTGTTCATTGGCCTACCTGTGTTGCTAGGCCGGCGGTCAGTGGCATGTTCATTTTGCGGACTGGGAGTACCTGCTGATTGCGTTGAACTTCTAGACCCAACAGGCTGAGATGTTGGACCCTGGAATAAGGGGCTGGTTTGTGGGGGAGTAGGATTTTGTGGTGCAGGCGCACTGTTCGCGGCAGCCGGCGATGCTGATGGGCGTCTAGGAGGAGCGGGTGTTTTCTCTGGCCCAAAGCCCGAGACTTGATAAAAGTCGCCAACCTTATCGCCGATTAGCCAAACGAAATCGTGCGGATCGGCGGGGGGATCTCCACTATCTTCATAACACCAGTCAATATGGTATGATGTTGGTGTGCTCTCAGTTGGTGTTTTAGACATGGGCTGGCCCCTGACGCAATAAGCAAGGCCAATTTTCATCCAATCTTGTCTGTCAAGGGCCTGCAAGATTCTCATTAGCTGTGATGGGGTCAAATTTTCTCTCAGGGGCGAAGGGTTTTGTGTGATCATTGTGTGAAGACTGGCTAGGCGATTGAAGTCTGGAGGAGTCTTCTTGAATTTCTGATAGATGGGCCACAGACCCCATACAAGAGCGTGCAAGCCACAATACGGTCCTCCATCGTTGTGCCTACGCTTATAGCGAGCTTCTACCTGGAGCTGTAGATGCCTTCTAAACGGTTTCGGGCCGAATATAGCCACATAAGAATTTTGACCGTTGATGAAATCAGCAGCTAGGTCGTAGCCAGTGTCAATTGGATTGTTGATCTTCGAAGAAAATCGGATCTTGTGCCACGTTGCGCTTCCTTCAGGTGCCCAAATTGGCGTATCTTGCGCCATGACTACTTGCTTGGTTCTGTACTGGATTTGAGGGGTATTCAAAGCTTGTGAGCGTCTTATCTATTACTTCAGGCCCGATGTTGTCGAAACAAGATGCTTCGTGCCGCGAATCTGCTCAGTCTAGGTGAAGGTTGAAGTTTTGTCTGAATATTGACGAGCGCGATGGATAAGAGGCATGAAGTACCGGGCGTGGACAATTCATTGTGTATGTTAAAGAAATGAGTGATATTACAAAGGCAAAGCCATTAAGTCTTAAAGATGGAGCCTTTGTTCTCTATCAAAACAAAGGGGCAAACGTCGATGGCTTCCTTGTGCTGCTGGGGCGTGGCGTGGCTAAGTATCCTCAAGAACAGACAAGGAGATCTCGCGTAAGCTGGAGGCGGAGAAGAGGAAGCAGACGTGTTGCATGACGTTGAGCAGGGCGGTGAGGCCGTCTGGTGTTGATCTTGGGACGCGATGATGTTGAAGTCGGAGGCGCCGACGAGGCGGTGCGGACGTGGCGCAGCTGTCCACCTTTCCCAAATCGGAATGGAGGTCGTCCCCGAGGTCAAGATTCGTGGCGTCCCGCTGGCGCCCCTCGCTGCCACTTGGCGCTGGGTACGGTGGCACGATCTGGTGGGGAGCTGACCTCTCTGCCTGGGCAGCACGTTGGGCTCAGGGCTGCGGATTGCTGGTCAGCAATCACGTCGCCTGCAGCTGCTCAGCCGCATCTTCAGCTGTTGCGTGCCCAGGTGCTGCCGCTCTTTCCCGGACAGCCGCCCTTCACGGCGGGCGGTTTCGTATAAGAGGCCCTGTGATGCCCGATGGCTGCTATCCGCCCGCATCCAACCATCACCCCTCCCCCGCTTACCCCTACCTGAAGACCTCTACAGTAAGCCGACCGCGCTCTTCCCTCAACCTCGCGCAAGCAGCCACCTATCCCTCGAAATCAACTCTCGAACCTCTACCATGTCTGGACAAGACTGTAAGCCGATCCCTAAACAGCTACCACGAACTGCAACTGACCACCCCGCAGACTACGGCCAAGGCTACAACCAGCCGCCCCCACAGCAGGGCTATGGAGCTCCTCCGCAAGGCCAGTACGGCCAGCCGTCTCCAGGCTATGGCGGCCAGGACCCGTACGCCCAAGGAGGCAGTCCATACCTCCCTCAGCAGGTGCGCGCGAATACACATGCTTTCTTGCGCTACTTCTGACGAGACTCTAGGGCCAATACCCCCCTCCCGGCCATTCTCCCTACCAGTCGCCGCCGCCTGGCCAGCAGGGCGCCTACGCTCCGCCCTACGACCAACATCAAGTCGCTCCCTATGGGCAGCAAGGCTACGAACAGCACAATGATCCGAGCCGCGGCCAGTCCCCATATCCTCCCCAGCAGCACGGATACGGCGATCCCGCTGCCCCCGGTGGCTATGACCCAGCACATCAGCAACAGGGCCAGTACGGAGCCCCTGGAGCCCCTGGCGCCGAAGGCGAACGTGGTCTAGGGTCGACTCTTATTGGCGGCGCTGGCGGAGCTTTCCTTGGGAATAAGCTAGGAGGTGGCCCTCTCGGCACGATTGGAGGTCTTGTAGCGGGCGCCATCGGTGCGAACGTGTTGAATAGCAAAAGTGACAAGTAAGTCAAGCTAGATCCCATTGCTTGAATCGCTAGTGACTGAGCTCTCCACAGGAAGAAGAAAGAGAAGAAACACAAGAAACAAAGCAGCGGCGGATATGCTGCGTCTGCTGGCATGGGCGGCCTGTATGCTGGCAGCCACGGCGGGAAGAAACATAAGAAGCGGTCGCACAGTCGAGGCGGCAGCTCCTCGTCCTCTAGTAGCAGTGACTCTGATTAGTCTGAGGGCATTTTAAGAGTGTGACTAGTTCTTGTTTTATTACGGATGTTCTTGTTGTCCTGACAAGGCGGCTGCGGCTGCGGCTGGATGCTGCGGTTGGAGTGAACAAACGGTCTGCTCCATGGGAATATCCTTCGAGCTTTCCACATTGCTTTTTCATTTTTATGATGATGAACTAGTCAAATAACCTTGTATAACTTTATATTTTGCTATGGTGAAGAATTACCTTTGACCATATTTGATCAATTGTGGTGCTTCTTATTGGCCTCCCCATATTTGACACATGTGAAGCAGTGCATCGTATCATGGAAGTCGATATAAAGTCCTTACGATCGAACGTGATACTACTAATTCAGGTGCCCATATATGCGCTAATGCAGTGTCACATATAACAATGATATCTGTAAAAGTGAATGTTACGGGTGGTTGTAGGCGGTTTTTGGTCGAAGAGGGCAAGCGAGAATTTGATTTTGCCTCCACCATCACCTAATCCACGGCATTCCATCGACTCACGCTTTGAGATTTTTTTCTTCTTTTCAAAGCCATTCGAAGAGCTGCTAACGATGGCGGATGCTTACTTGAGCTTCTTGAGAATCACTCTTCCGGACGATCTCGTGTCTGTTCTCAGTGATATTCTGAATCACTTGGAGAAGGGCGAATACGATGCAGTTCTCCAGTCACCTCAAGTTGCGATACTCTTAGGCCTCCAAGATAACGAAAAGACCCAAGACGTATCTGCGAGCGACTTCCCTCTATGGAGCGACTACGTTTCGCGCCGTCTAGGACTCATCCTTGCAAACTGCGATGAGGAAACCCAAGACTCCGCAGCGTATCTGCAACACCTTTTTCTTGTCGTAGCTGTCGCGTGCTTATACGCCTTTCTACAGTCCAATGTCACTGGACCTCCTCTACCGTTTTCCTCTTCAAAAACCCTCTTCCCTCAGGAGATCTCTTCGAATCCGTCTGCAGTGTCCACATTGAGGCAGGATCTAATCCAGTCACTCAGCGCAGATGGAGAGGCTGCATACAAGCTGACTCCGAATATTGAGCTCCTCTGTCTCGCGGACACGATACTATCAAGTCCGCCGATTCAGAAGAACATCAAGGCGGCTGCCTGGGTAAAGCTTCGAACCACTTTCCTACACCAGCGATTGCTATCTGAGATCGCACCGTCATTACAATCATCTATCTATGAAAACCTGGAGGCTCTGGAAGCCGATTTGCTTTCTACCGAGTCACAGTATTCCACTCCTGATATCAGAGTACAGTTCCTTCTTGAACGCGCAACAATCCATACACATCACGGTCTGGATAAGAAAGCCCGGTCTGATCTCAACCAGGCGGCTTCACAGCGGCATTTTGAGTTTGCCTTGACCGGATTACTTGGAAAGAGAACCAAATTTCAACAGTTTGATACGAGCCAGCTCGTAGTGTTGGCCCGAAGCGCTAAAGATACGAATGAGGCGCCACGAGTAGACGGACAAGAAACTGGAGCGAAGATCGATTCTTCAAGACCTAAAACCCTTGACCTCAACGACGATACGCTTCTTGAATCTATCTCGTTTGTCGACACACCGTTTTCATCTACAGATGTCAAGGATGAATCGAAACTTCCTGCTTCTCTGACCACTTTGGATCCTGCGAACCAACCACTCTTGGAGCCTCTGGACTCTATAATCCTTCTGTCTCTCGCTTCTTCGATCACAAACACTTCTCCATCGGATGGTCTTACCAGAGAAGAGACTATACCCTACGCAACCCGCGTGCTAGACGGTGGAAGCTCAAATTGGCAGGTTTACACCCAGGCGCTCCTTGTGCGAAGTAGAATTGAAGGATACAGATCCCGAACGATAGAGCGTGGCCTGCTACAGCTTCAGGCTCTCGTCGATCAGGTCATCGCAGACACCACGTCCGACAGCCCAACTCCAACTGGCACCACTACCTTCCTCCCAAAAGCCAACGAAACCGATTCAGCACCAGTGAGCGAGCGCATAAAGTACATTTTCCAACTTTGCTCGCCCTCTCGCTGGGAGCTCGAAGCAGAGCTGGCCTCGAGATGGGTCAGCATGGGAGGTCTCCGATCCGCTCTGGAGATCTACGAAAGACTCGAAATGTGGGCCGAAGCTGCTCTATGCTGGGCTGCTACTGAAAGGGAAGATAAAGCCAAGAAGATCATCCGTCGTCAACTCTTCCACGCCACCAATGGGCCTGACGATACGGCTGATCCAGAAGAGGAGAAATGGGAAGGACCCCTACGAGAACCCGCTCCCGCAGACGCGCCTCGACTGTATTGCATTCTGGGCGACATCGACCAGGACACAGCCATGTACGAGACAGCTTGGACAGTCTCAAAGAACCGCTACGCCCGCGCCCAGCGCTCCCTAGGCCGCCACTACTTCACCCTTAAAGACTACGAGCGCGCCATAACGGCCTACTCCGCCTCGCTGAAAATGAACGCCCTGAACCAATCCAGCTGGTTCGCCCTCGGCTGCGCACACCTCGAGCTCTCGCAGTTCAAAAACGCCGTCGAGGCCTTCTCCCGCTGCGTGCAGCTCGACGACACCGACGCCGAAGCCTGGAGCAACCTCGCCGCCGCCCTGCTGCACCTCCGCACCTCCGCCTCACAGGAAGACGAAGATGGCGAAGCCGCCCACCCCCTCGCCGCCCACCAAACCAACCCCCAGCAACCCCGCCTCGACGCCCTCAAAGCCTTCCGCCGCGCCGCCGCCCTCAAGCACGACAGCTACCGCATCTGGTCCAACCTGCTCACCGTCGCCGCCTCCACCGTCCCGCCCGCCTACAACGACATCGTCCGCGCGCAGACGCGCATCTGCGAGCTGCGCGGCGTCACCGACGGCGAGGCGTGCGTCGACGCGGCGATCCTCGCGGCGCTGGTGCGGCACATCGCCTCCGTCGCGACCGAGCCGTACGACCCCGCGAAGCCAGGCCTCGCGCGCATGGTGGGCGAGCTGGTCGACAAGCACGTCGTGCCGCTGATCACGGCGTCGGCAAAGCTGTGGCAGGTGGTCGCGCGGCTGGCGCTGTTCCGGCGGCAGCCGTCGGCGGCGCTGGCGGCGCATGAGAAGGCGTGGCGCGCTGTTGCGGGCCAGCCCGGGTGGGAGACGGGGAGTGTGGAGCAGTGGGAGGGGGTCGTGGATGCGACGGTGGAGCTGGCGGATGCGTATGAGAGTCTTGGGGAGATGGAGCGGACGGAGGGGTTGGCGGCGGGGAGTGGGGAGGTGGTGGCGAAGGATTGGCGGTTCAAGGCTAGGAGTGCGGTGAGAGGGATTATGGGTAGGGGGAAGGAGAGCTGGGAGGGGACGGAGGGGTGGGAGAGATTAGTTATGGCATTGGAGGGCTTGAAGGGGGGTAGGTGAGTAATAAAAGTCTGGGTTTTAGATAGATCGTGTATCGCGCAGGCGTACTTAGAAGTTGTGGTTCGCCTCCCCTAAAGGAGAAACCCCATTGATGCTTCAAAGACTTTTTCCTAGTTCCAAGTTGTCACTTGACGCCTAAGACGCCTTGTGGACAGGTCATCTCCTCCTGATTACATCTGAGCCACCACCTAATGAGCCACACACGAGGGCAAAATTACAAAGGGAATACCTATACGACCCAAGAAGAGAAGCGAAGGGGGTATATACAAAAAAACCGCGAAGTGCGTAAAGGCCCTGTCAAGTGCAGGTTGACCACAAAGTCAAAACAGCTCACCTACGAGGTATATGATTGTCCTTATTAAAAAGCAGCAAGTCGCGCCACCTATTCTCACAGCAAGCACTACTTGAGAAGGTATGCGGTAGATCACCTTCGGTGAAGCTGAGTGCCAAGATACTCAAGAACCTGCAGAATGTATTAGTAGTGGTTTGTGAAGGTGCTCATTAGGTCCTACCTTGGGTGAAATAATATCTTGGTTAACGAGGTGTTTGCTGAGGCCTTTCACAACTTCCATTTGCTCTTCTGGTGTGAGGCCCGTAATAGCAGCTTCGATAATCCCGCCAACGCTCGCTTGGTGTGTGGCGATGAAACTCGAGTAGTACATGAAGGCGAAGAAACCCATGATGAATTGGCAATCCATGCGGTCGGTCATTCCTCCATGGCCCGGAATCGAATCACCAAAGTCCTTGATCTTGAATGACCTCTTGAGTCCCGAGGCAAAGAAACCGCCGAAAGGTGCAATAAGAGATGCGAAAGTTGCAAATACGAGAACGTGGAACTGGATTGGGGCGATAGAGATTTGGCTTGGCAGATGGGTCCACGACGGTGGCGGCGCAGGAAATGTATATGTGTGGGGGATGAAAACCGGATTCGGGGTACAGTTCAACCCCGTCATGAAGTTCGCACCGAGATCCTGTAACATGGTAATTGGCAAAGGCCATATCGCAGGCACAGGTGGGACACTCACGTTGACAGGACATATGAAGTACTTGTCTTTCGCCATATAATGCGTGAACCCGATGCCAAAGAGGATGGTGAAGAACCAAGCGCCAAGGAAGCCTTCCCAGGTCTTCTTGGGTGAGATTTTGATGAGCGGTGTTCTCCCGAAGGTGATTCCGCAGAGATAGGCAAATATATCGTTGGTAATGACGAGAGACACTGGCAAGAAGAACCAGATCATGCCCTCGAAAATGTTGTTAATTATGAAGTGAGCTTGGCCGACGATGAGGAAGAGCGCCATGTGTGTCCACGCAAATTGGGTAAATTGAAATTTATAGTGGCCTTTCTGTAATGATCCCACGAAGAAAACGAAACCTAGTAGAGTTAGTATTGCTGCAGACGCCTGTGACACTGGACTGGGTACGAAGCCTACCGATGAGATACAGCATGAAGCTTATGAAACGGTGGTGGGTAGCCAAGGGGAGGAGGATTTTATCGACAAGGAGAACATGTTTGAAGTAGTAGACGACGCTCTCCCCGTAGAGAAAGTACATAAAGGTGCCCAGAAAGTACCAGTTCAGGGTCTTTGTAAAGCGCAAGCTTCGCGCCCGGCTAGGCACGTTCGCTATGGCGATAACCTCCTTGAAGGATATTATCTGCACGGCAGTGACGATTATGATAATGTAGATATGGCCGGCGAGGAGTGCCCAGAAGAAACCGCCAATCATAACAAGCGTCCAGATTGTGCGGGTGACAAAGGTCTGCTTCTTTTTCTCATAGTCGGACTGAGGAGGAGCTTCCGGTGCCTATTACAGCGGTCAGGATCGTGCGAAGGGGACACCAGGGAGGCTTTAATACATCTGATTTCGAGAGAGCTCCATTCCTCGTAGGGCTGCCTGGCTCGGAGCCGTTCTCGCTGATTTCCGACATGCTGTTGCTGGGTCTACGCGTCTTGCCGTTGCTGCCACTCCGATGCTGGAATTTGACGTCTTTGCGCGGTCGTGCCATGGCTAGACGCGGGTCGCGAGAAACGTTGGATATGCGTGGACCCTAGCTGGATATCCTGCCACGGGAGGACCGGGTGTGCAGAGGGTCTGCTTGTGAGGCTTGTGAGGGCGGCTCGCAGTTGCTTTGGACGGGCACTGAAGAAGGGACGAGAGGGCGAGCAGCAGGACGACGGGAGATCAGAGGGGCCGGCGCAGACAGGATTTATTTGATGTTGAAGTGGAGTGGGCTGGTGAAAGACGGAGCTCGCTGGACGTCATCTCGTGTCGGCGAGTCGGCGCGACGCGGACGAATGTGGGCGCCTCAGGGTCGCAGCGGCGGCACCTCAGGCGCCGAATTCAGGACACCGCCGCAAACACACACTGCTCTCACACGCGCCGAACGCGTTTCTGCGCCTGCAAGCCATGCTGAGAGGCTCCCAGGTTCAAGTCGCCCGGCATGGCTGACGACGACGACGAATTCGACTTCGACGATGCCCTGTACGACCTTCCTGCCAACGATCTCCAAGCCCTAGAGACGGCTGCGATCCTCTCAACCCAGCAACGCCCGCTTGCCCAGTCCACCGCGCTACAGTCTCTACAACACCAATGCGCTCCTCTCCCGTCGAATCGTGCCCCGCTCAACCAGACAAAACCCCCCAAACGCGCTCAGAAGACGAATCCTGAGCCACCCTCGTCGGACTACGGCTATGACGACGAGATAGTCGTAGACCTCGACGAGGAGCCAATCCCGGAACAACCCAGCCACCGAGCGGCATTTTCCAAGGCGCCAACACAATGGACTCCTGGTGCCGCGGTCCCCCTCCAAGGTGGCTATCCGAGTCGACGTCACACTTTGAAGAGCACATATGGAGGCTCTGGGCAGGCATCGAACAGCCATGAGGTACAGCAAGCAGCGGATAGAGGCCACAGCTACGAGGGAGAGTCATATGTTGACAACATGGATGTGCATGTCGAGGCACAAGAGGTTGGTCCAGCCGCCAATGAGCTTCGGGAACGGATACAAGAGCTTGAACGCGAGAAAGAGAGACTTCTCAAGTCTGTCGAGGAAGCCAAGTCTGCTGCCATGTCGAAGGCTGGTGAAATAGCCATAGTCCGTAGCAAGCACGACAAGGTTACAAAGGAGTACGAGCGACGGATTTCCGTCATGCAGCAGGCTCATGCGGATGTTGTAGCGAAACAGAAGGCCGAATTGGAGAAAACCAAAAAAGACAGGGAAGTGATCGAGACCAACAATCTGTTCCTGGAACACGACTTGGCGAGAGATGCCGCCAAGGCGAAACAGACCAAGAAGAACCTGAAAGACGGAGCTGCTGTTAAAGCCAAGGCTGGGCCAGTGAGCCAGGCAGTCACTCCCAAACGACATAATAAGGTCCTGCCTTTCAGAGATGGTTTTGACGACGACGATATTGTCCTGGTCTCCCCGTCGAAGGCTCGAGATCGCCCTAAAGCTGCCACGCCAAAACAAGGAGGGAAGAGGAAACGGCCTGTGATGGACCAGAGCCCTATAAAGCCATTGCAACTCAGTGAGCCCCGCGAGAAGGCAAAGCCGCCAGTGGTCCACGAATCACTGAATCAACAGCTTCATCTCGCTCTGCTAGCGAAGCTTGAGAAGGACGAGCATCGTTTTGAGTTTATGCGACGGCTTCTTAACCATCGACCGAGGACCGGACATGAGCGGACGTTCGAAAGCCTCACCCAATACGCATTTCCTTCCAACCCGAGCAAGATGCTATCCTCCTTGGTATACGATGACTTAGCTACATGCACCCCCGAATCGCACGTCGAGGATTTTGCCCAGAAATTTTGTTATATCTTTTTCGATTTGTGGGAGCAATGTTTAAAAGAAACTTTCTACACGCCCCTCTACCTTCTTGTGGACACGATCAGATTCATACTGGCTACCGAAAAGATGGGAACTGCAATTGCGATTACCGAGAAGGCACTACCTCTGATTCTTGCTTCGGTAGATCTCGTTGCTATTCCAATTGCGAGGGCTTCAACGAATCCGGCTTTCATTTCCGACCGGGATGCGCCGCCGCAAGGAAATCTTCGCAGTAAAATAAACGTCTTGGATTGTCTGTCTCTTCTTCACACCATTGCTACAAGTTGCGTCACATCCTCGGAAGCTATCTCCAAGTTTTGGCAATGCGTGCCAAACGATTTTGTGTTGCTCATGCTTATGAAGGCTCAACCACTGGATCAGATCATGCTCATGCTTCGAATTCTGAGCACTAGCGCACTTCCGGGCACCGTTGGTGCAATTGTTCCAGTCGACTCTGGGCCAGATCAACAAATCAAGCGAGAGACTGACACAATAGACCGTCTGACCATCTTGCTCTTCGAGACTCCCGAACCCCTACAAGAAAGTACCAAAAGCAGTGCGTACGACCCTCCGTCTATTTGCGAGCTACGCATTCAAGTGCTCCGCGTACTAGGCGGACTATGCGTTCATCAATATGGTGGACGAGTCCTTGCGAAGCATCGTCATTGCATTGGCCGTCTCGTTCGCTTTATGCATGATCAAATCGATGCGCTATACAACTACAGAACACTCACTCATTCTGCTATTGTCGACTCGATCAACATTTCTATGCGCATCTTATACCACCTGGCTACTTCCTTTCCGGACGAGGTCGACATGAGGGCGAGACTGAGTGTGATCCAAGGCGGAATTCACAAGCACCTGGTCGCCTTGACCCGTCTCGCATTCAGCGACGCTATAGTCTTGGAGGCGGGCATTGAGGATGAGGTAGTAGATGCGGCACACCAGTTACTGGAGGAGTACTTAAGTCCAGAGGAGGGAGAAGCGCTGCTTCAAGTCTTTTCTAGCGGTAGGAGTGTTGGCTGATTCATATTCTTAGCAAGCTTCCATGGTATGTATCAGTGGATCGGATATCTTGGGAAGGGTCAGGCGTTAGGAACAACTCAAAAGGGCATATCTTAAAGTTCGTTTCCAGGAATGATCTGCATAATCTGGCGTCAAGGGCGGACATTTGAGAGACTCTGCAACATTAGTATTAGAGTGGACTATAGGGTGGTCTGAAAGATACCATATGCATAGGACACGAGCTGCTACTACGGTAAATAGGATACCTGAAGCACAACACTAAATATACAATACCACGTCGCATATTCGTATTTCATTCCTACCACTTATACTTGCAAAGGCTGAGACTGTCTTGTTTGAGAAAACAGCTAGGCCCCATGGTAGATTGATTGGAAATAAGCATTCCAGCGACCGAAAGTTGTAAAGATCAATGCGAATAGCACTTATCCACATGGAATTGATAGTGTAATATATGTAGTCTCATCTTATCCAATCACATAATTTAGAATTTCCATTAGATTAGCGGCTGGTGATTGGCCACGGCAGACACGCCTAAAGACCTCCGACGCCAACTTTCTCGCCGCGTCTCCACTTCATGCTCGCAAAGGCCATCCTCATATACATGCACCTCGATGCAAAGGCCATTGGTAGTCGATGGCCTATGGCGCTGCCTATGTCCAGCTTTCAGACCAAATGTTTCCAGCAAAACGCTCCGAGCACCCTTCCAACAGTCGGTCAGAACATATCAGCAACCTTACACACAAGGAAGGAAGCGCCGTACAGACACAAAAGGGCTGTTAGCCAACGGAAAGCCTAGAGTGACAAAAGCCGGGGAACCCCCATGGCGACCGAAAGAGAGTAGACCTGAAGATTACCACCACGCCGATGAACCAACCGAGCAATTGTATGGAAGGCTCCATACGTACGCGGCAGCGGGGAACTTTTATGAAGTCAAGGATGCTGTTCAGTATCTTATACAAGGTCGCGGAGAGAAGCTCAATGCCAGGTTATACTCAGCCATGATCCTCGCGAACGTGCACCCGCTACATGGTCATGCAGGAAGAGTATCGTCGCTGTTGTCAGAGATGGAGAATGAAGGGATAGAGGCAGATGCAGGTGTATGCCATGATGTTCTCCAGGTACCATTGATCCAAAACAAAACTCTGTTACGCTAATTCTGACATTTTCCAGGCGCTTGCAGTTCATCCCAATGCTATCCTACGCAGCGAAGTCCTCGAGTATATGCAGGAGAGGTGGTTACAGTTGTCAGAAGATGGGCATGCTGCTGTTGTTGCAGGGTTGCTTCGGGAACGCTCTTTTGAAATGGCTCTAGAGAAAATCGAGGAAATGGAAAAGCATGGCCCTGGGCGAGTACCGACGTGGCTTTACGACAAAGCTACATTCATGCTCCTCGATGTTAAGGAAGTCGAAGAGGCCTACCAGTTGACAGTGAGGCGGCGAAATCTTGGCAATGGGGATATATCTCCTGCGTTGTGGCATATGCTGCTCGATGTCGGGAGTGAAGCTTTTCACGTAAGCCCCATTTTGATAAGCAATATGAGCCTACCTAACGAAGTATCTAGCACGAGCTTGTAAAGCTCGTTTGGGCCGAACGAGTCGAGCCGAATTTCTTCATTCCATCCTCTGGAATCTGTTCGAACGTATTGAACACTGCGGCTCGTCACGGCGATGCTCATCTAGCCACTGACGTCTTTCGGGTCATGTCCAATCGCAAAACCATTTTCAGCCAACTAGATTACGAAATGCTCCTGGAAGCTTATATTACGGCTGGGGATCTCAAAACTGCGCTTACGGTCCTGGTAGTCATGGAAGAGGCAGGCGTGAAAGCTGACTTGAATACTGCAAATCCCATAGTTGCATATCTCCGGCAGGATCCAACTAGGCCCATGCAAGCTTTCAACCTACTGGAAGAGTTCGCCCAAAGCCAGCGGAAAGTTCCAACGGCAGCAGTAAACGCCATCATTCAGACATGCGTTGCCATGCCAGACCTCGAACAAGCCATTGAAGTGTACAAAGCGCTTCACACAATCAGCTCGAAAGGCCCAGATATCGAGACTTTCAATACATTATTTCAAGGATGTCGTACCGCAAGACGCAAGGAACTAGCCATGTTCTTGGCGGCTGAGATGATCCAGCTCAAGATCAGACCCAACCTCCTGACTTACGACCGGCTTATCCTTGTCTGTACGGAGTGCGGCGACATAGACGATGCATTCCGCTACTACTACGAAATGAGGGACCAAGGTTGGCAACCTCGGGACGGAACTTTCTCGTTGCTGATTCAAATGTGTGCTCGTCGGAAGGATGAGCGGGCCTACGAAGTTCTTCAGGATATGAAGAGGCTGGAGATGGACTTGTGGAAGCCGTTTGCCATTTTGCAGAAGGCGGGCATGCGACCGGAAGGCTTGTTGGGAGGGAGAGGGCCTTCCGAGACGGTAGACTATAGGCCTCTTGTTGAGGGGTCTCAAGAGTCTGCCACTGTCTCTAGCCATGAGTAATTACATTTGCTACCAGTGCAGTTGGAATGTAATGTTTTGTATGATACTGTAATATGAAAATAATTAGTTCACAAACATTCACTGTTGCACATGGTGCTCTAATAAGGCCTTCAAGAGCATTTCCCATGCTCTCAAAGATGTATTTCTACACAGTAGACATCTTTCGTCTTGTCTACATTCCCGACGATACCGTCAGGGGCCCTCCATGAATACTAGCTAGATTTGTGCATGCCAAGCACGACCCTTTCACGAAAACAGGCGATGACGTCTCGCTTGTTTGTCGACCTCGAACATCTGATGTCCCTATGTACCTTCTCCAGCCTTGCTTCTCAAAAATGTCGGGGAACGCCTTACACCGCACATAACACGAAAGCAACTACACCATGGCTTCACTCCTGCGCCAAATCGTCGCAGGCCCACGCGCCAGGCATCCAGAAGCTGGCCTGGATCTCTGCTACGTGACCGACAAAAGTGTGTACACGGCAATCCAAACCACCGAATCTCTCTCCCCTTCCTCGAGCTCACATACTACGGTTACTGACAACATCCTCTCGCCATAGTCATCGCAACCTCGGGCCCCTCGGGCACCTACCCCCAACGCGCCTACCGCAACCCGCTCGACGCGCTCGTCAAGTTCCTCGACTACAAGCACAAGGACAATTGGGCAATATGGGAGTTCCGCGCCGAGGGCACCGGCTACCCGGACTCGGAGGTCTACGGCCGCGTCTACCACTACCCCTTCCCGGACCACCACCCGCCGCCGTTCGCGCTGATCCCGCACATCATGGCCAGCATGCGCAACTGGCTGCACGGGAACGAGGATAGGGTTGTGGTGGTGCACTGCAAGGCGGGCAAGGGGCGGAGCGGCACGGCGAGCTGCTCGTACTTGATCAGCGAGGAGGGGTGGAAGGTGGAGGACGCGCTGAAGCGGTTCACGGAGAGGAGGATGCGGCCGGGGTTTGGGGCGGGCGTGTCGATACCGAGTCAGCTAAGGTGGGTTACGTATGTGGATCGGTGGGCGAAGCATGGGAAGGTGTATGTGGAGAGGCAGGTGGAGGTGCTCGAGGTGCATGTCTGGGGGCTGCGGGATGGGGTCAAGATTTCGGTGGAGGGGTTTGTGGATGAGGGGAAGACGATCAAGACGTTTCATACTTTCTCGAGCAAGGAGAGGGAGCTGGTTAGAGGGGAGATTGAGCAGAGTGCGGGGTTGGCGAGTGTGGTCGCGGAGGTGATGGGGAAGGGGAATGGGAAGGACAAGAAGGAGAAGGAGAAGGAGAAAGAGAGGAAGTCATCGTCTGCACTGGCGGAGGGAAACCAGAAGAGCAATGTCCAGGCTTTGAGGGGGGCGCAGACATTCCCGGCCGGTATCGATGGGCAGTCCTCGTCGAGCGAGGATGAGAAAGACGCGCCTCGGGAAGAAGACGAGACAGAAACCGGAGGAGACGTTGTTTTCCGCCCCACAAAACGGGTGGTTCTTCCGACCAACGATATGAACATCGATGTCGAACGGCGGAACAAAGCGGCGTATGGCCTCACGATGGTCACTTCGGTAGCACATGTGTGGTTCAACGCATATTTCGAAGGCAATGGCTGTGAGAGCGGCGGGAAGCCAGAAGACTCCGGCGTGTTCGAGATGCATTGGGACAAGATGGACGGGATCAAAGGCAGCAGCAGGAAAGGCACCCGAGCTTTCGACAGGTGTGCTGTGGTGTGGAAGGCATTGCCAGAAGAAGAGCAACCGCCAGTCGTCATTCGCGAACCCAAAGAAGGGGAAGAGGTCAAGCAGGCGGCCCCTGCAGACTGGCATGGACAGGAGAGCACGGATCCTAGCGAAGGCAAAGATCTTGGACTACGCAAAGAGACTCCAATGGGGTCGAGCTCGGACGTCAGCACAGCTAGCAACGTCAAGAGCCAAGTTGGCACAGTACCAGCACACGACGGCCAGGACGATGTTCACGCGGGTCTCCGAGCCCATGGACCCAATGGCGAGGAGCAGATTGAGGAACCATCAAGCGCCGACTCCGCATCGGCACCCGGGCCGCTGCCTCTATCGAAAGATCTCCCGCAGCCTGCAGCACCGCCTGCAGAATCCAGCGCACCAGCGTCTGCAGTACCCCGTGTGCAGTCGCCGGAAACGATCAACGAGCCCTCAACGAGTATAACAGGCGTCTCGACAGGCGACCTCCCAGACGGGAAACCCGAATCTGAGCTCGAGACGCCAAGCGGGCACTCATTGGGCCACCTGGGCCTGAGATCGAAGGACTAGCCCGCGTCCATGAACCGGAACGACGGGAGGGCAGGATGGGTGCATGGCGCAGGAGAAGGGCTTTCTTTTTGGGTTCGCGTGATGGGATTTGGGTTGGGGACTGCAGGACGCAGATGCATGGCGCTTGAGGGTTCTGTGTTGGGTGACTTTGGCTCACGGCACAATCGTCGGACTAGATTCTACAAGGCTGCTATAACTGCACAGTGCGACAATATGACACCCTTATTTAGAAAGTGCAAAAGAGGGTGGCCGTTTTCACGTGCAGACTGCAGCCTGGCAGCTTCAGCCTTGTAAACACATCCAACAGCCAGGGCAGGCCTGTTAGCGCAAGCCGGGGCCCCTGCTCGACTCCACAAGCCACGAATTGCTTGGTGCCTCGGTCGAGAAAGCGGTGAGGGCCGCCGAGGGTCATAGCTGGAGGGCTCAGCGTGCAGTTTAGTCGGGGCGCAACGGTCCTCCAGGCGTCCATTCGCGACTGTTTCTTTGGCTGCTCTGGCGGTGGTGGATGCTATCTGATGGTGTTTGCGACGGCATGGACGAGTGCATGGCGCGCACGTTTGCGGGATCCACATTTATATCCGGGGCGCCACGGTCGATGCGCGTGGTGGAGTGGACGTTCTGGCGCGAGGGCTCGGGCACATCTAAACCGCCCTCCAGATATTCGCCTCGTGGAGTCATCGAAGCAGGGTGTCTGAGTTGGCCGCACCAGCAGGCAGACGTATCCCTTCACCGGCCTCGAGTCCGCCGCGGCGACGCTGCCTCAGCTGCACAAGGTCTACCCTCACCCATAGAACTCACGTATATATATATATATAACCGTCCTCACCCGTCTCTGCTCTCTCCGCCTTGTTGCCTCCACACGCACAACTGCGTTCACCAAAAGTACGTACCCAGCCCTAACGTCGCTGTGCTTCTCGTCGGATTCGTTGTTCACTGGCCGTCCTCGTGAAGCTGTGCAACGCTGTTCGGAACCAGCCTACCACTGCCAGTCCATTCGGCGACGTCGATCCCATCACACAACCGCCCTCTTGACTTGATTGACTCGGTACTGATCTGGACGGACAAGCAGACTCTCACTGCCTGATAGACGCGGCTCACTCTCCGATGAACAAACCGGACCGCCGCACCACCACACTCTCTCCCACAACTAGACCCTCCCCCTCCACAGCCACGTCTTCTGTGCCCACCTCCTCCGAGACCGCTAGAACCGCAACTACGAGCGAACTCAAGGGCAACCCCGTCTACACTCCCACTTCGAGCACGTCCTCCAGCACCCCGCAACCGAACCCCTCCTCTCCCTCTGGGTCCAGCGGATCCTTGCACGAGAAACTACACAAAGCGAGCATGGACACTGCACGGGAAGACAACACGGCCGACGAGGTGACGGTGCAGCCCACCTCTGAGCCTCCTACAACGAGTCTAGGGGACGTCAATGGGACTGCCGTGGACGGAGCCGCCGCCAGCAACTCGGCGCTGAAAAAGAAAAAGAAGGCGAAGAAAGGCAAATGCAAGAAGCATTCCAAGAGCAGCAAGAAGGCGGAGCGCAAGGAGAGTATAGACACCAGCAGCTCCTCTAACAGCGATTCGTCGGACGACGATTCGGATAGTGATAGCAGCAGCGAAGACAGCGAGGAGGAGGAGCGGCGGAAAAGGCGCAAGGCCAAGAAGAAGAGGAAGGCGAAGCTCGCGGCGAAGAAGAAGCGGAGCAAGGCCATGCGCTATGCGGACTCCTCCGACTCGTCTGATTCTGATTCAGACTCTGAGTCATCCGACGAGGAGGAGGAGGAGGAGCCGCGCCGCCGCCATCGCCGGCCGAAGAAGTCGCGGAGAGCTGCTGAGCCCGAGTCGGAGACGGAAGATGGTCTTGATGATGCTGTGGAAGAGGATGAGGGGACGAGGCTACGTAACGAGATTGCGACCTTGCAACTGCAACTCCAGCAGCAACAGCTGAATGCTGCGATAGGAGGAGGATCTAGGAGGAAGAGGGCCGCGGTTCCTGATGGCCTCGATCCCCCCGCCTCTGGAAGGAGAGGCATCAGGTCCAAGCGAAAGGTCAAAAAGAAGGCGAGCAAGAGGGCGTCGACACTGGAGTTCAAGCGTGTGGACCAGTTGTGGGACAGCACCATACATAACTACAAGTTGACGGAGAGTGCCGAGGATCAAGTGGACGAGTTTAATGAATACGTAAGTGCATCATCCCTTCCATGTTTTCACTTTTGCAAACACATCTACTACTCAATTGTGGCGGTTCCAGTTCTTAAATTGACGAATATCTAGGTCTTCACGGTTCGTAGGAAGTTTGACTGGGAAAACAAGTATCGCAACACCGTTGTTGACATCAAGTCGAAGCCTCTACGGGATGCGCTCGGTGAAGTCATGAAGGACGTGAAGGGTGTCTCATTAGTAGAAGAGCAACCTAGTGTAAGTTTCCGACCTTCGTTCCTTCGACCTTGATGCTGATAATACTTAGGTTGATCCCAACATGCTGTTCCTCTACCTCGAAGAAATCAAAGCACACTACAAGAAGACCCTCAAGGCTCAGCTAAAGAAAGAGAAGAAGCGGAAATTAAAGAAGAAGCTGTCTTTGCAGATTGCCCACTGCAAGCTGCTTGTCACATATATCAACGAGGACTACGAAGAGACAAAGAAGACGCTCTACCCGATGCTGAAGGCTGGCAACATTACATTCGAGCTCCTTTGGGCTTTGTTCAAACCCAATTCCCTCGCCTACACGGCCACCTACGGATCCGTGGACGACCCTCGTTGCTTCAAGGTCGACTATGCAAACAAAGAGAGCTCCTTCATCCGCGGAGAATGGTATTGTATTGAAGGGCGCTACCTGGAGTATGACGGCAAGCATTTCGGCCTTGGCGACTTTGAAGTCCACGTTGAATCCTTCAAGGGCCCGCGGAAGATCACAAGCTTAACCACATATCCCCTGAAGTACCACAAGGATCCAGAGGGCCTCAAGAAGCAGCTTGTGGAGCGAGGCAAACGCTTTGTCGCGATGCAGGGCATGAACTACCGCTTCCATAAAGGACTTGCTTTCCAGAAGAAGAAGAAGGCCGTCGCGAAGGTCAATATCAATGGAAGAGTCATGGTAGACCCTGCGATCTTCCGGAGAATCAATCCCAACTATCCAATCTCATTGATCAAGCCCAAGGACACCGAGGACCCTTTCAATGACAGCGAATCGGATGATTGCTCCGACTGCTGTGACTCCTCGGACGAAGATGGTCCTGCGGAGGGCGGAGAAGGCCCGTTGAACTACAATGAAAGCAAGGAAGAGCGCGAGCGAACTAGGACGAAGGTCGTGTTTGACAAGGACGACAAAGTTCATGTCATCACGGTCCCGGTTGACGAGGACGGAAAGGAAATTCAGGTTGAGAAGCTTGACTCGATAGAGACCAAGGAAGGCGTCAAGACCCACCAATTCAGCGAAGAGGAACTCCTCATTGCCTCACCCGTTGTACTCGGCTTTGCGTTCTCCGAGAAGCTATGGCTCGAGTTCTCGCTCAGCGGTATCCGCGACATTGAGTGGAACGAGGGCGCGTTCTCCTCCCTCGTCCTTCCAGCCGCCCACAAGTCTATCGTCAAAGGCATGGTCTCCAGCCACAAATTCCACGCCGCGGAGACCATCGACGACGTTGTTCAAGGCAAAGGGCGCGGTCTCGTCTTCGTCCTGCACGGCCCTCCCGGCGTCGGCAAGACCCTCACCGCTGAAGGCATCGCCGAGTACCTCAAGTGCCCCTTATACGCCGTGAGCGCCGGCGAGCTCGGCACCGACAGCCGCGTGCTGGAGCACGAGCTCCAAAAGATCATGGACATTGCGCACTCGTGGGGCGCGGTGCTGCTCCTCGACGAAGCCGACGTCTTCCTCGAGAAGCGCGAGGTGCACGACATCCACCGCAACGCCCTCGTCTCCATCTTCCTGCGCCTGCTCGAGTACTTCCAGGGCATCCTCTTCCTGACCACCAACCGCGTCGAGACGTTCGACGACGCGTTCCAGAGCCGCATCCACATGCCGCTGCGGTATGGTGAGCTGACGCCGAAGGCGAAGAAGGAGATCTGGAAGACGTTTGTGGAGAAGGTGCGGGTGGTGGAGGGGCTGCAGGTCACGCCGTTTGGGGAGAAGGACTTTGATGCGCTGGCGAGGAATAATCTGAATGGGCGGCAGGTAAGAGCTCCCCTTGCCCTAACAAAACCAATTGGATACGTTGCTAATGTTGGAAACAGATCAAAAACGCAGTCCGCACCGCCCAATCCCTCGCCATCTCCGAACAGGAATCCTTCTCCCTCGAGCATATCAAGCGCGTGCTCGAGGTTGCCGAGGACTTTGATCATGATCTGAAGGGCGGCACGGGGTATCTGGATGCGATGAGGAGCTATACTTAGCCGCACTCTGCGGTAGTTATACTCTGGTGTTGACAGCATGCTTTCTTTGGCATTGCGTTGGGCGCTATGGTGACGAGCAACGAGCGACGACTTCTACGAATCATTCTCGCATTGGGCTCATTTGTAGTTTGTAGTCTCATCACGGCATTGGATCGGATTGGATTGGCATGGCGACGATGGGTCTAATTCTGGGCGCGAACGAACTAAGAGATATGGGTTACGACTAAATTGGGCTATGCTACAAATACGGGGGGGGGTTTTTTTGGATAGGTGGGCGGGGGCGAAGCGGTTTTGAAGGCTTGAGTTTACTCTCCTCTCCCATCTTTTATATTCGCTTCTTCTATGTGGTGTGGCTTCAGATTGTCCATAGAAAGGGGGACTGGTGGGATGGGATGGTGGGATTTGAGTGTATCATAACGGCCTGCTTGGGTTACGGCAGATTAGATATTAGGACGGCTTTCCGGGGATTATAACCGATCCACTTTACACATTTCCAAGTCCTGTGACTTTAAGTTTGGGCACTCTCTTGCCACTGCTTTTGGGGGGGGTAACAACCCATAGGCTTTTCAACCTCCACATACCATGTAAAGGTCCATGCTGTGGAAATCAGGCCACCCTTTGATGAGCTGAACACTTGCTAGTCGGGCTGCTCCTAGACGGTGATGTCGAGCGATCAAAAGTGTAACCAGTGCAGTGGTATAACTATCCGAGTGCCCAAACGGTGTGACCTGGTACTGTAGAGTCGCTAGTGTGGGTATCTATGAAGTATTCTTACCATGAAGGCGTTCGTGGAGGGACGGGCTTCACTCCACAGGTTGCTGAGAGATGTACAGTGTGCACAGAGAGCTATATCAGTTGGATTCATAAGCTCTCGATTTCGGCCACGATGCTTGCATGTGTAAGCAGAGTAGTGAAGTATAGTATATTAGCTGCTGAAGGTTGCTTCCACGAGCATAAAGCCTTTAGACCTTCACTTGCTAACTCCTCCAGATTGTGAAAGACCCTGTAGTCCGTAGTAAGACCTCCAAAGCTTCGAGATTACCACAAGTGACAGGTGCAGTTCTAGAAATCAAGATGAAGCCCCGTCGCTTCCGTAGTCGCTAGTCGATGACCCCTCCGTTGTCTCCTGCGCAGTGTCCTCGTGCAGTGTTCTCCTCCTCCCGTAATATCAACTCCTTATATCCATGAGATTCCTTAGACCCATCACCCCAGTCAGGATAAATATCGTCACGTAGCCGCCAGTCGCCCAATGTGATCAAAAAGTCTTGAGATCCTCCGTCACTAGCAGTATAGTCCCGGTCCCGGTACTTTGTGCGGAGCCACCAACGATATTCGCTTGGGGTGAGCTCCATTTCTTTTCCCTTCCGTTCCTCCAGCTGAGCCGTCCTGTCGTACGCTCGGCGATGTGGTGGAGCGTCAGTGTAATCTTGGCCTCTCGAGTCGTTGTCGCAAGCAACTGTGATATAACGTTTCCATAAGCGAATTGACCCAGGTTGTGGTCGTGAATGTGTTCCATAGAACGCGGATTCTCTCTCCCAGAGGTGGCGCCGACGAACTCTTACGCTCTGGATACCTAATTTGTCGCCGTTCACGAGCAATCGTTTCCTGAGAAGCTGGACGAAGGCGACCAGACGATTCACACCTTCTTCCTCATCTTCGATCTCAACGCTAATAGACAGTCGAGTGATTCCATTTAGTTGAAAGAGCCTGTCCATAGGTTCCGCATATCCTCCTTGCCAGTGATGGAAGAGATTATCCCAGTTCCATGGACAGTGCCTAACATCGGGCGGGAACCCATACATTTCTAGTGCTAGACTACTCACATGCATGCTCTCGTTCATCACTCGGAAGACTTCTAGAAAGGGCTATTCGGGCATTGTATAGCGCTCGAAAAGAGGGTCAAGCGCAAACTGTGGCTGGCCGAATCTGAGAGCAAGCGACCGAATTTTTGAGGAAGCCGAGGTCGGACGATCCATCAGAAACAGGTGGCAAGTTGAGAATGATCTGTCTTCATCCATTTCGGGACAGAAATCGAAGATATTCTGAGAATAGAAGATTTTGGACGCTTCTGCGTAAACCTGCTTGTTGACGAGGAATATGCTGAGATCGCAGACGTCGTGCGGACCCTTCGGAGCATAGAATTCGTAGGTAACGTCGAAGTGGCATTCGTGGTACTTGCTATATCCATTGTAAAGGATGCTCCTCCGCTTTGTAGGAGATCGACAAATTGGAAGTCTGCCGTTGGGCACTGGTGGGACAGCGCGAATGTGTATGCCGTCCTTGGCTACCAATGCATACTCGTAGATGAGATCTCTGAGTTCGCGAGGCAGGTCCAGGAGCGGGAAGTATTGTCGTTGTAACATGCCGTCAGTCTTGTGAACGGTCCTCGGCCAGATCGACGAAGGTTGGCGAGGCCCCCTGCGGAGGCGGCTGAGTTGCCTGGTGTACTTGCTCTCGTTCGCCATGATGGGCCGTGGCCTATACGAGGAGGGATTGCTGTCGCGTAGCCTTCAGAGTAGATCCCTTGTCGGTGGCTGTGTTGTGGTGCTGTGCAAGTGAAATGGTGGGCAAGGCCGATATAAATCCAGGTCATGTGATTCTTTCAAGGCATTCTTGACTACTAGATTCCGAAGAAGAGTTCCGTATGCCACAGAAGGTCTTATTGAGATATGGGCATGGCGCCGCTGTTCACTTCAACTCGACAGGTGGTGTGGCAAATAGAAACGTCTGATGTACGAAGTAAATCAAGCTTTTGAGTAAGGAATTGAGGTTCATTGGGCATGCGAGCTACCATCTTCTAGAAAGAGGACGAATTAACACGTCCATGAAAAGACGAAAGGGATAAAGCAGTTCCACGGGGCGCATCCACAAGCAATCTTCTCCCATTACCCGCGCGCTGCAGTTTGACGGGCCACCTTCACCAGCTTGCCATCACGCCCCAACTGTTCAATCTTCTGTTCTTGACGAGCTTCACTCCTACCTTCCTTCCATCCATCGTACCTCGGACCACGCTCACTGTCACAGCTCTTGACGCACAGAGTCGTTCATGATATGACGCGTTAAGACGCGGCATTTACCAGCGTCGATACAACACAAGTCAAACAAGTACGTCATATTCGTTTCTTGCTATCCAGTTCGCCAGTCCCGCGTCGCGACGGCTATAACGATCCAAGAGTCTGCAACGTTGAACTAACCATGAAAAGTTGCGTGCGCAGCCTTTACTGTATTTTTGAAATCGAAGATGGTTTCTGAGAAACGGAAAATTCAGAACAAGGAGAGGCACGTTCGATATAAAGAGCAGCGGAATGCTAGAAGAGGAGGAGAAGGCTATGATGGTGGAACGGGAGAGTCCCAGGAGGGGTCTAAGGTTGGAGGAAGCGGCTCGGCTGCAACGTCAAAGAAGTTCAAGAGCGACAGCTCCTCCACGCCAATTCACTACAACGACCACTCCTCGAGTCACATACCTCAGACCGGCACGAACGTCCTACCCATTAGACCGAGATACTTGGAATTGAACTACAGTCCCCTATCGTCCGGAGACAGCGACCACGCAGGTATGGCGCCCGCGCCGCCTGCTACCGACGACCATGTCGGCCCTCACCCATCCTTTATTGAGATCGCGAAGCCGTATATCTTCGAACAACGGTTGCAGGAATACCTGAGTGCTATTGGGATGAATGAGACACGGGAGGATGCTGTGAGGCTGCAGGGCGTTGCTTGGATCGACAATGTGAGGAAGTCGATGCAGCTGTATGGCTTCTCCACCTTATATAACTGGAGCGCATAGCTGATATGCATAGGCCGGTTCGTACATTCAACACGGCTGTTGTGTACTATCATAAATTCCGTCTGCTACACCCGGATACGGAGTACAATTATGTTGTAGGTTACGTCCTTGGTTGAAGACGCGCAGTAGCTGATGAAGCGAAAGGATGCCGCTGCAGCAGCATTGTTCACGGCCTGCAAGATCGAAGACACTCTCAAGAAATCTAAGGAGATCCTGTGCGCAGCCTCCAACCTGAAGCTATCGCCATCCGAGCACCTCAGCCCCGATGACCCAGTACGTCAATATCCAAAATCATTCTCCTTCGGTCTCTAATGTTTTCCGAAGATCTTCGAGACCCATTCAAAAAGCATAATTGGCTTAGAACGCCTCATGCTTGAGGGTGCGGGCTTTGACTTCCGCAATCGGCACCCCCAGAAGCTGGTCGTTAAGATTGCCAGAAGCTGCGGATTCCCCAAAGACACAATCTCCAAGACAGCATACAACGTTTGTCTCGATCTCTACAGAACCTTTGCTCCACTCAAGCAGGGGACGTCGACTATGGCCATTGCCTGTGTCGAGCTTGCAGCGCGTTTGCATGAGGCTGATCTTTCTACCCTAGTTGGAGATCGAGGCATCAAGTACAAGAAGTGGGGTACATCGCGAGCTGAAGTAATGGGTGAGGACACTGGCTACAAATACTGGTTAAAGTTGCTAACAAGCCCAACAGAAACCCTCCTGGACCTTCTTGACATGTACACTCACCATCGCGCCGCTACCATGATCGGTCAACTGCATCCAATCGAAACCTTCATCAACATGCGCATCACTCTAAACCAAGAATCGACCGCTAGTGACATTCCGCGGTTCACTGAATTCTCAAATACCCCTAAGCTATCTCCAATAGCGACAAACGGCTTCAAAGTGAGGAACGGCATCGCTCCCACAAGCCCCGTAACCCCGATGACGCCTGGCACCACCTCACCTGGACAAGGGCCGACCTCGGCAATCGGAATCCGTGGCCAGAACGGCACCGTTCGGTTCATGCTGGATGCGGCTCGCGCGCGAGAAGAGAAGCGGACTGTTGAGAACTTCTACAAAGTGGAGCAGGAGGAGTACGAAGTCGAAGTTCCGGCATCACCGGAGAGGCGGAGACCACGTTGAGCATTCCACTGCTCTCGGACCGAAGATTCATGCCCGCATTATACATGTGCACTATCCATGCGAGATATCACTCAGGCGATACATCGCGATTGCTGACCGGAAGACGCCCTCCCACGAGTTGGCTTTGTGTGGATGCTACCTCCGCGTAGCCTGGCTGCACCTTGGGAAGCTATGCTTTCAAGAGTGCCTTCATATGGCATGGATTTTGATAAGCCAGAGTTCAAATGAGCCCACATATACATATCCAGCCCGGCGACGTTTCTACGACCCGGAATCTACTGCAGCATTAGCATATTAGGGGACGATGTCCATGAGACAGTTTACATTTCTGGCAACTCATTGAATATCAAAATCATTAGCCATTGCCACTTCCCTAACTGATGACTGAGCAATTTGATGATACAGTGTTTTGCCAAATGTCTGAATAGATCCGTTTGTTGGAGCTTTCGGCATCCCAATAGGTTTCGAAACACCGAGCACATTGTAAAGGCTAATGCAGAGCAAATCGGGCTACCTCTTGACTAGCCACAGCCGTTTGCGCATCCGCTGTCGGAGTTGTCTAAAGACTTGGCATATTCTAGACCGCACGGGCTCCCATAACAGTCACTTTACTGAGTAGGGTAATTCCGGGGCAAGGGTCCACGGGCCTCTCCCGACAACTTCCTTCTCCTGTTTGACACCGCTTGGGTCCCTTCGATATACGTTCAAATATTCCGAATTCTTTTTCCTTTCGTGTCTACGGTTTGTCCAAAATAGCTCTAAAGTAACGAGGCGCCACAAAGTGCATGATCTAAGCGACGTGGTGTCCACAACCAATATCGAAATGGTGTCACCAGTCTACTAATCATTTCTCATATCCCGCTCTCTTTTATACCATCAAATTTCCAGTGGAAGCCCACTTATCATCCCTTCTATGTGTACTTCCGTTATGCTTCTTTATCTATTATGTTACTATCACGCGGTCTCTTCCAATATCTTCCGATGCTGCATGGCGTTTCCTGTACCCGAGGATGCATGAGATGCGGGACGGGCGGTGAGAGGCTAGGAGGGCCGCCCCGCCCAGAACCCGTTGATGCCGGGCCTGTGGGACACGTTGATTATCAGTAGCTATCTTCAACCCAGCCTAGTGAGTGCCAGGATCCAGTCACAGCTGGTGTGCCAGCAGCGAGTATGCACGAAGTAACGCAGATGGGCCTCTTGCTGCACATGCCCCGCGGTATGAATTCCTATTAGCACTGCTGTGCCACCCTCGGACAGCGAAATGCTTGGTCGAAAGACTCTCACGTACAGAGATGTAGGGTCCAGGTGCCCCTCACACTGTGCTGGCACTGCCAAACCTTCTGTCCCCCATTTTCTTTCGTCAACTCCCCTTGAAAACCGCAGGAACGGTAGAGCACTTCCAATTGGAGCTTATTATCATCAAATTAATATTTTGTAACCATGGTGCCCAACGAGAGCGTCCTAGTGGACGAGAAGATGACCACTGCGTCTTCCGAGGACCGTGGGACCGGAACCGAGTCCCTGGAAGCACCGCCAATGGATCGTAAGACGATGCTCAAGCTTGATCTGAGACTCGTCCCAATATTGGGCGCCTGTTACACGATCATGTTCCTAGACAGGACCAACAGTACGTCCAATCACAGCCAATCATCCCTCATTTATCACTACCATGATTTACCTCCTTCACAGTTGCAAACGCACGAATCGAGGGCCTTGAGAAAGGCTTGAACATGCCGCTTGTGGGCTACAACACAAGTCTTTGGATTTTCTACATCCCCTTTGTCCTGGTCGAAATTCCTAGCAATCTGATCATGAGTCTCCCGCGCGTCAAGCCGAACTGGTTCCTAGGACTTAACGTGCTTATTCTCGGCATTGTTTCCACGTGCCAGGGACTCTCACATTCGTATTCTGGGTTCTTGGCGGTTCGATTCTTCATGGGAATCTTCGAAGCCATCCTTCCTTCAGGTACGTTATGTTCGTTGCACCTACGGTACCAGGTCACAAGTTTGGGCACTCGGATATACCACTGCACCGGCTCCACTTTTGATCGCTAGACATCACCGTGAGGAGCAGCCCGCCTAGCAAGTGTTCAGCTTATCAAAAGGTGGCCTAATTTCCACTGCATTGACCTTTACATCGTATGCGGAGGTTGAAAAGCCCATAGGTATACCCCACGCAGTGGCAAGAGAGTGCCCAAACTTAAAATCGCAGGACTGTATGTTATCAATCATGAAGCTAATAGTGGTATTTAAGGAACTGCATTATTGCTCGCGTCGTACTACACCAAGAGGGACGCAGCAGTTCGATTCGGACTTTTCTTCGCATTTGCTCAGCTTGGGCCTTGCTTCAGCGGAGTACGTTACCCCTAACGCCGTAAGAATGTACAGTCACTGACCTAACACAGCTGCTCGCATATGCCCTCGAAAATATGGACGGTGTGAACGGCCTTGCCGGATGGAGGTGGATCTTCATCATAGAGGGCATAATGACCATTATAATTGGTTTCCTTGTCGTGCTCATCGTCCCCAATTTCCCAGAACGGGCCAAGTTTCTTACCTCCGACGAACGTGCCCGGCTGCACGAGCGACTAGTTGCCGATAAAGGAGCGGAAAAACTCGATATCAAGAACGTTCCTTGGCTAAAGATAATCTTTGATTACAAGATCTGGATCCCGTAAGTTCTCTATCATCACGACGTACATCTGGGTACCACGACTTGCGCTCATACCTCTAGCACCGTTTTCTTCTTCTGTGCCGACATGACCGCCGCCTCGATGTCCTCTTTCATTCCCACTATCCTCGTAGAACTCGGCTGGAAAACATCCAGAGCTCAAGTCATGACCATCCCTATTTGGGTCTCGTGCATAGTCGTCCAGGTCGGTATCGCATGGGTCGCTGGTCGTACAAGGACCCGCTCCCCCTACATCCTCGGCGCCATCTGCGTCGTCATCATTGGATGGGTGATCGAAGAGGTGCACGTTAAATCCGCCAGCGTCCGATACATGTCGCTCTTCTTCCTCGGCACTGGAACCTTCACTCAAATGACCCTAATAGTGAGCTGGATGACTTGCAACCTGCGTGGTAGGGCGAGTACGGCCGTGGGCACTGCAATGCTGCTCGGCCTCGGAAATTGCGCTAATTTTGTTGCGTCGAACGTATTCATCACTAAGGAAAGGCCCCTTTACCCTACTGGCTTTCGCACTGGCCTGGCGATTACGGTTCTCGGGTTCGCGTCTGTGGTGCTCTTTACGGCAATCTTGGCGTATCATAATAAGAGGCTGGATGCTAAGAGGACGCAGACTGGGGACTGGGAAGACACTCAGGAGGAATATCGGTATGTCCTCTAGGCGATGCGGTTTACGAATGAAGCGAGCGCCACGCTATAATGGCACGGTTTGGACGACGTAACGACTCATGAGAACGAGACTACATGGTAGGTGCATGCACATAGACTGATAAGAACGATATGACCTGGTGGTGTTGAGTAGGGAAGAGACAGATAATTCACGTAACTATAATGACCCATTGAATTCCATGAAATGAAGCCCGATTGCCTTAGGTTACAATACTATGCCACAAGTCCAACCACAGTGGTAAGCCACGCTTGGTGTCTTTTTTGAGAGCTAGAGACCACTGTTAGGAGAACCCCGGTTGCTAGGAAGCGGACTAACCAAGAGACAGCTCAGATTTCACTGCATGAAACTTTACATCGCGCCTCGATTTCTGAAACCCCATAGAGGTCCCCCTGACAGTGTCAAACAGGTGTGCATAGAATAGCGGCCTAATGATATGTCACTGTATTGTTACTTCTGCACGTTAAGCATCCATTGAAGCACCCCGAACCGACCACGAACGAGTGTAAAGAAAACAACGTCCTAATCTAGCATTATGCCTTTTTCAGAAATCAAGAGCCACCTCCTTCAGACTCTCGTCGATAGTGAACCCAGTATACTGGCTCTTCGGCGGCCATATCCTGCTCAAAAGCACATACAACCCCGAGCTGACAATAAAGCCGTAGAAGTATCCCAGAGAATACAAGTCGGTCGCACCCTCCGAGACGTTGATACTGCTAGTAACCGCTTGCGCGAATCCAGGTAGTAGTGGGACAAATCCAATCACGAATGCGACTGCGGCACGCCAGTTTGTACCGTACTTCTCGTATGCGTAGATTCCGTGATGTCGGTACATTTCGGGCACGCTAACACGTTGGCGATGGACGATCCAGTAGTCTGAGATTAGGATGCCGGAGATTGGGGCTAGCCAAATGGAGTAGCCGTCCATGAACGTGAGGAGTGATTCGGCGGAGGCGAGGATGTTCCAGGGTGTCATTGCCCATGCGCCAAGAATAGCGCAGATGTACTGAGCTCTCCGGAGGTTTAGATACTTCGGGAAAAGAGTCGTGAGGTCCACAGCCACGGAAATACTGTTGGCCGATATGTTGATGGCGATGCTAGCAATCAAGAAAGCGAGAGCGCAGAAGAATGCTGCAGCACGTCCACCGCGGGAGGTCCAGTGGTCAATAATGAGACTGAAAGTAGTGGTACATATTAGCATATGCTCCGAAAAAAGACTATGAGAAATACTAGAACATACAGAGGATCCCAGAGGACTTCACCATAGAGAATCCTTGAGCCATTCGCGCCAATTATACCGAAGAGCATCATAATGATGAAAACAATTGGGATAACGATTAGCTGAACATACGGGCTATTCGGCTTTTTAGAGTAACGCGCGAAGTCGTTCATGTTTCTGTACTTTGGGTCAGTTCTTGGTTGAAAGGATGTGGGACTTGTTTCTACGCACACCCCAAGCGTAGCGAAATTTCCAATCATCGCGTTTACACCGCTCATAAATGCCCAACCAAGCTTAGGGCCGTGATATTCATTGCCATACGCAAATACTGCATTGCCGCCACCGGTCGAGCGGACGATCCATCCAATGAGTGCGAAACCAGCGATAGGAGATACTATTGCCTTGAGCATGAAGAACAAATGAAGCTTATGGTGAGGGATGTAGTGGAATGGTAGAACAACAACCCAGTATATGAAATAGCAGATCATGAAGCCCGTCGTGATGTTGGCAGATGCGGGGAGATGATTCGGTACGTTCCGGAAGCGTGGCCAGATGGCGAAGATCATGGATTGGATACATTCGGCCCCGGTGTAGGTACCAATTCCATACCAAAAAACGCTGATTATGATGCGGAAAATGACCATAACGTAGGCGAAATAGAATCCAAAAGCGGATCGAGCTTGAACAGGAAAGGGGATATGCAGACGAGCACCAATCACTCCGTTGTACGTAACGACGAAGGCAGTGACCATGTTACCGATCACTACTGCGACCAGAGCGAGCTTCCATGACAGACCGATGGCAATCAGGGAGCTGCCAATTCTCCAATTGCTAACCGCGAAAGCGTCTGAGATCCAATAGAAGACGAAATCTCTCGTATTCCATGTTTGCATCTCTTGAAAGGTAGATTAGCTCAAGCACTGTATGAGTATTGCATCGACACTCGCCTAGAGGTATTGGATCAAGGTCCTTGTTACTCCATTTCAGATCCCCAGGGGCATATGAGCTCTCGCTGACAGGTACTCGAGCTCGAGCCTTGAACCTTTGCCAGATAGAGCCATATGGTTCGAACGTTCCCACAGCATCAGTGTCCTGAGCGTACGAGGATGTAAAGCCCTTCTCATCCGCCATGGTAAGTTTAGTGTGATGCTTACAGCCGAACTCTGGGATTATGTAGAGCAGCAATGCTCTTTGAAGGCATATGAAGGATGCCCAGACCTCATGATCAGCGCTAGCATGATTCAAAAAGGGCCTGGGGGTGTCACGACATCTGCTGTGATACGATGAGGATGCATACTGCCGGAGGCGTTATCAAGAGACCCTTACTAGACTTATCGTCCTTTTTCCTTATAATCTTGGCTCAACTAGGAAGTATGTCGCCGTGGACTTTTGAATCCATAATAGATGAATAGAAAATGAACCGAATATGAGACTCGTGAGTATCTCTTTGAAGTTTGAGAGTAGAAAAGCTCCTCGCTAGCCTTTATTCTAGAGATGAAGCAAGCCTCCCTGTTACGATTTACATGTCAACGTTCCAAGGTAGACGAGGCCCATTGTTTCCGCATAGGGTCGCAGTATCCGTCGGCAAACACTCCCGATCGATCTATCGCTTTCGAGAGAGCTGCAGCAAGTGCCGAAGCGGAGACCGCCGAAAACGCGATATACCGTTGATGGTGCAATCGTAATACAATTGACACAACGGGATTCAGAGACCGCCGTTCTACAATGAAGAAGTGGTGATGGGTGCATGAAGAGGAGATGGAGACAGCTCGCGGTCTAGCCATGCAATCTTCGGAGAATCGGCCCGTCGAAATCCACCCATCCTCAGCCACAGGGGCTCATCTTTCCATCACAGCTGAAGAACTGGTCAATCTGCGCCTCGTAGCCCGAGGGACTTCGAAACCTTCTCTCATCATCCGTCATGGCACTGTGTTGGCTCTTCATACTGGAGAATTGCTAGAACGAGATGTCGTCGTCTCTGGCCGACATATCGCGGCCATTACACCGTGGGATCATTTCCCTAGGATCGACAATGAATTGGAAGCTCGAGGCAAATTTGTTTCCCCGAGTTTTATAGATACTCACATCCATGTTGAATACACAAAACTGGTGCCAGGAGAATTAGCAAGATTGAGTGTGCCGAGAGGGACTACCACAATTTTAGCAGATGCTAACTGTATTGCAAATGTATGGCAAACTCAGAAGTCGATCTCATTATGTCTTAAATTGAGCCTGTTATGAAAGAAGTAACTAATGTCATTAGTAGGTGCTTGGTGGTCGAGGCATGGATTTCATGGGTACGCTTCTTTCATCTCATAGGTCAAGATGATCTGTCTCACATGGTCACCATTTCAGGAACAACATCAACTCCGCTTCGTATATTCCGTCAAGTATCACACAAGATCCCTATGAGTGGTCCGGAAATCGAGCTTGGTGGTACATCTGTATCAACTGCCGAAATCTGCGAAAGAGTATCTTCCACAGAAGCAGCCACGCTCGGAGAGTCCAATCCTTTCTCCTTAGACCTTGCTTCCGCTCAAAAACAGGCTGCTGCTCTTCGCGCCGGGAAGCGTATCACAGGCCATACTGCTTTGCTTGAAAATGAGCCTCTTTGGGCATACTGTGCTGTAAGAGTAGTCTTAAATGTGAACATATAGGCCTTTGACTGATCTTGATGCACTTAGGGCGGTATCGGAGACGACCACAACGCACACAAGCCCGCAGATGTGCTGGAGCGTCTTCGACTAGGGATAATGCTGACTGTAATGTCTGGGAGCATGAACTCCAACATCGAGAGCGTCTTCAGCGATTTCGCTCTATACAAAGACGGTCTAGACTACATTTCTTTCTGCGCCGACGACAAGCTTGCTGAAGACTTTGATGCCACCGGGCACATTGACCTTCATGTTCGAGAGGCAATCCGCCTCCGGGTTCCACCATTGAAAGCTTACAAGATGGCGACTTTGAACGCTGCCTCTTATTATCGGCTTGATCACCTGATTGGCAGTGTCACACCAGCTAAGCTCGCAGACTTACTTATACTCGATAACTTGGAAGATGCTCGGTCAGTGTTCCACTCTCCCTCAAGTTTGACGTGTCTAACCGTCGACTATAGCCCCTCAACCGTCATCGTAAACGGCACCATAGTCGCCCAAGACAACCTCCCAACCTTCAAAAACACCGACCCCGTCCCCCCCTTCACCCTCAACACCATCCACCTAGACCCCTACTTCTTCTCTCCCTCAGCCTACCACGTCTTGCCCCGCAAGAATGACCAAGACACCGCATGGATCCAAGGCATGGAAATGTTCGACGGCTACTTCAAGCGCGCCTTCCACGCAAAACTCCCCACATCCCCAACTACTCCCCGTCACCTCCTCTGCAACACCGCAAAAGACATCCTCAAGGTCGTAGTCATCGACCGCCACCACGGCACCAAGAGCCGCGGTATCAGCTACGTCCGGAGCTTTGGCCTCAAGAAAGGCGCGATCGGGTGCACGACGAATTGCGAGAACCAGAATCTTGTCATCATTGGCACTTCCGATGACGAGATCGCTCACGTGGCGAAGGCGATCGCGGAGCTTGGTGGGGGCATGGTCGCGGTTTGTGAAGGAGAGGTGCTGGGTGCTGTACGGCTGGATGTTGCAGGATGTATGTCCAGCGCGCCGTGGGAGAATGTGAGAGATGATTCTATAGCGTTAGATAAGAAGGTTAAGGAGGTTCTAGGAGGAATCTTAGAACATCCGTTTCTTATTGCCAGTTTTGTGGGGCTGGTGGCTGTGCCGGATTTGGGGTTGACTGAGAAGGGGCTGGTGTATGGGGGTGGTGAGGGTCTTATGGATCCGGTGCTTGAGGCTGAGGAGGATGGCGTTGTGTCTGTTGGTGAGCCTCAAGGGACGGAGACCGCGGCAAGGATATGTTGCCGGTGCCCTAGTCATGCTCATGATGTTCATCGGTTCATGGACGCAAGTACTTCTGTTAATGTCTCATGAAGACGGCTTCTCGTGGAGTAATGGTCTATAAGCCCTCTAGTATCGACATTCAAATACAGTATGAGGTTAAAAAAACGAGTACTTATACAGTGAAACAGTACGCACCAGCGGTTCGATTAACGGAATGATCTTTGTAAATTGCAGTTATTTTCGGAATCTTCAATCCCTCATCAATAGTTCCAGATACCCAAATGCCCTAACGCCTCGCCATGCAACCCAAGCGAACACCGTTCTAGTCATACGCCCTCTTCTCATCGAACTCTCCACTCTGCCTTCCTGTGAGAACGCCCAATGGCTCTCTCCGTCGTCCCCTCCTTCCCCATGTCTCGACGCTCCAATCGAAAAGCTGATAGCACCAACTGCCCGCAACGATTACACCGCTGATAACGTTCACAAGCCGCACTAGTAGTGCAAGGAATCCACCCCATTCTTCTGCAATTGTGAGGGTTATTGGCTCGATGTCAAACTTGACAAAGATACCCGGCACCTGGTTCTCGCCGACTAGATGAGACTGCGAGGTAGCCGCGTACTGGTTTGTCCAAATAGTATGGCCGGCGTAGGCAAGCGCATCGGAAGCAGAAGGGGAGGCCTTGGCCGCAATCTTATTCAGACTGCGGGTATCGGTGGTGTATATAGTGGGGACGATGGAGAGGTAGTACTGGAATTTGTAAAAATGGTTGGGCGTTGTAGCAACTGTCGCATCTAGAGGGTTTTCGAGGGAAGGGTAGAAGGGGCCGAAGGAGAGTTCGTTTATGTAGTGGGAGAAGTTGAATGCTAGGACAGGTCAGTTCAATGCTCAGCAGCGTATGAAGCCAGGAAGTCAACTCACTGCTGTGGTCCAAGTGCTCCCCAAATTCCGCATAACCGTGTCCTCTCGCGGTAATGTGAAAGTCTCCTTGGACCTTATTGCCGTCCAGACTGCCATAGATTCGACACGCGTCTCCTGGACCCCGTAATTTTGGAGTCTTCTTGAACTTCCTCTTCCGCTTGGCAGCTCCAAGGAAGTCATGAACGTCCTCCATGTCCTCCCAGCCATGACCGTCGTCGGGCCCACTTCCTAAAGTGTGAATTCCCTTTGACTTCCCTGCTTGCCGCCAAGAAGTCGGATCTTTATGCAACATGTCTCCAGCCAGAATGCGATCGCCCGCTGCATCTTGCACGTTTACGTGGAGGTCGGGGCACTTCATTGCAACCACAAAGTCAATATTTATTTGTAGGTCGTGTGAGACGCCTTTCTCGACGCTGAAGGTGTGCGAGGTGGTGCCGGTGAACCAGCGAACGGTCTCGGTGACAAGGAGGTATGCGCATGTTACAAGGAGGACGAGTGTCCAGGCGCCGCCGTTGCGCGTGCGGGCAAGGTAGGTGGGTTTGGTTTTAGCTATATGAAGTCGTAAGCTATGAGCTCTGCGGATGCAAAGATATCTTTGCTCTTGAATCCTCAAACTACAGGTAATTGAAGCACGTCTGGACAACGCAATGGGAGGCACTATCAAACTTACGGAAAGCATCAAAGGACGAGATGCCTCCCTTGGAGGCGCCAAAGGCGTCCTCGGAGAGGCCATGCTCGGTGAAACCATTCATGGAGCTGGTTCAGGGCGCTGTGGGCCCAGCGATTGCTCTCTTCAACAAGTATGCAAGGACGTGAGGGGAAGAGTAGAACGGAGCGGCGTGTATCCCCGAAATTGTAAAGGTGTCCTTCAGCCCTGCGATCTTCTGCACGGGCCACGTGCATGGTTCAATCTGTGACAGCTCAGGGTCCTTTCACTCTTCACACCAGTACGATTCGACTGAGTATTCTAGAATACTTAGTGCGGCTGTTTCATAAGATAAAGTGAAGCTCATCATTCAAGTATCGCTCAAAAGCCTTCAATCAGCCAATGAATGTGGATAACTAATCACTTTTATTGCATTTCCAAGTCATTTTCATTTCTTAATTGCTCATGTTGTTGGAATTTATCCATATACACCGAGTACTTCAGAAAAAAATCAAAGCCTACACTCAGAGAGCCGCCGCTCTAGGCATCCTCCTCTCTCCTTAGTGTATTATACTGTCCCTCACCTGTCACTTCAGACTGTCTCGGCCCACTGCCACCGTCATACCCACTCTGCGCATTCTGGTTCTCAAACTTAGCCTCCGCAAGCCGTCCTGGATCCTTGCTCCCTCCAATCTCCTGATGGAAGCTCGCATTGGGCGCCCCGCTGTCGAATCCGCCCTCGGTGATGTTTTTGCCATGCGGCTTAAACTCGCCCTGATCTCGACCTAGCTCAGCTGAGCCCGCATACCCGCCCGTCGGCGCTTGGTCAACACCGCCACTTCCACCAGTGGTGGTGTTATACTCTCCGGTTCCGGTTCCGCTATTGTTTCGTGCATCATCGGCTGGCGTGTTGTATGAGGGCCCTCGTCCTGCGTCTTTCCCGAGCCCACGGCCAGCGTTCAGTTGTGAGGTCTCGCTCCACTCCTCTTGTGCTTCGCGAGCTTCTGCGTCTGGAGCAGCGTCGAGGGTTGTGGCGCCAGAAGTGTCGCGGTTGTTTGCTGTGCTACCAGCGCTCTTTTGCGAGCTTGCTGCCGCTTTGGGGTTGCCTTCGGCGAAGTGACCATCGCCTTTCAGCGATTCGGCGGCGAGAGAATCTGATGTGACGGTTCCCACGGCCTCCTGGATGTCGCTGGCTGATGGATCGTTCGTGACCTTTGAAGGTGTCAGCTTTGTTTCGTACAGATAAAGTGTACAGTAAGTGAACGCAGACTGCCAATCTTACCTTTGTTCCGTATGAAGACATTGTGATAATGCTCCGGGTTTGATTAAGATTCGAATTGGATGTTTGGCTTTTCAGCAGAGAGCTTCGATTCAATGTAAGATACTGACGTTCGAGGAGAAGTTATCATGAGGTATCGCTGGTGTCGTTGATATGACATCACCGGTTCCACTTATTGGGTTGATGAATTATTGCGGGAGGCACGCCACACGCTACAGACAAGACTCCTAGATTATGGGAATACAGCCCTGAAGAAGGGCTTGGTAGGGTCCACAGCTTTGGCAATGGCTGATAAGCACGCCCATGCAGAAGCTCCGAAGCGGACCTCGATATCACGTCATCGAGAGGAAGCATTTGGATTGAACAGAAAGTGTTTTATTTGTACAAGCTTGCAGGCTAGCTCTTGCCAACCGTCTTAATGACTAAGCTTCATGAAGTCCCTGAGCGCAAATGTACACTCTCAAAAGTCATTCAAATAGCGGCTTACTGCAAGCCTGAGCTAGGGTCGCTCTTCTGTGGGTACCCTGTTCCTGCGTCAATACAGATATCTACCGCAATGCCAGCTGGTGAGTATTACCGTAGTCCTTTCCAGTCGTATCCACCGTCGCCGACTTGTTCTTCGCGTCCCTCGAAATCGCATCGTTCGGGAGTCCTCCTAGGTTGTCCTGTCCCTCACGACCAGCACCACGACCAACAGTGTTAGACTTGTACTCCTCACCGTCGACCCGGACATCGCTGTCTGCAGCCGCAGGGCCCCTCAAAGAATCGGAGCTTGAGATGTCAGCTGAAACACCTCCAGAACCGACATTGACGGTTCGCTCATCCAGGGAATTCCAGTCCGAGGCATGTGGAGGTTGCTCGGGGAGAGGCAGGTTGGCTTTGCGCTCGTCGATGATTTCTTGCTTGGAAGGCATTGTGGATGTGGCTGGAGAATGGGTTAGACTGAATGGTTTGAATTCGAAGAGATGTTAGGCATCGAAAGAGGCAATGGTGGTAAAAGACTTGAAGCTCGCGAGAGTGATTATCACTTTCAGTGTTTAAAAAGCTGAAACTTACACCGAGTTGAAATTTGAAATACAAAGTCGATATAGAAGACTTCGGGGAGACCAGAACAATGTGTTTTGAATGGTTTTATTGTGTATTCAGAAGTTGAAGATCCAAGCTGTTTTAATGCGTACATCCTGACGTCGACCATGGTGGATCATGTTTACGTCACATCGAAAATCGGCATTCCGCATGGGCGCACGGAACACTCGCGAAAACTCCATGGCAAGGACATGGGATTTCTCGCCACAGCGGTGGATCATAATCGGCGATCAGTGTATGATCTTCGCATTTTTGAGAGGTTGAGGCTTTTCATTGTCTCGATTGTCGTTAGCTCACCCGTCTCTTGGCATGCCCGAGATCGCGTTCATGTGTACCTAATTGTCATGTCTCAAGTTCCCAAGCAGCCGCTGGAAGTCCTCTGTCCTATTTGATGGCTGACCGTCAGATAAAGGCCATGATAGGTTATTCGAGGACAGGATTCAAATTGGGAACTCAGCGCAGTGACCAGCCAGAGTCCGCAACGAGCATATCACTCCAACCTTTGCATGTCTCGTGAGAAGCACGATCTACGCAAGAGGGGTATTTTGAATAATGGTTCGTAGGACGATCGATGTAGAACGGCCAAAGAAGTGAGAGTAGTATTTCCCTAGGACGCCTCCTGTCCCCCGCTTGCTATGCCACCTATCAAAACCAGAAAAATTCCATAGCCCAATCGGGCCCAACGCTTGCTAGACTATCTAAGTATATGATGCAGAGAGGGGGGTAAGCAATGCCGCTACCACAAAAGCATCACGATCGCGGCTTCTTTGGGGCGACATATGTAAGATTCAGCTGAACAGCCACATTTGAATCGATTGCCGTCAGCGTGGACGTCTTACCACACTAAACCACGACAAGGGTGCAACATGATTATTCCGCCACCACGTCCCCGGAGCTTTCATGTGGTAGGGGCCGAGACCCCACGGCTTGGGTCCTAAGGGACACCGACCCAGTTACGAGCGAACCAGTTCCGGAAGGGTTCGGGTTGTATGTCCGGGAATTGCGTATTGAGAGCACCAGGCACAGCGAAGTCGTATCGTCCTTCTACCGTTGCGATGAGTGTTTGGAGGCGTCTCTGTCTCGCATGGTCGCCAGCCAGCTGTGCCAGAGTCAATTCGTAGTTGAGTGTTCCGAGATTGTGCCACTGGACGTGCGTGAAATCTCTTCCTTGATAGCAGATTAGCTGGTGCCTCCACTTCTCAACCAAGCGACGTACCTCTACATTGTTTGACTGTTTGGATCAAAGAGGATACGAGAACTCTTTCTCCGCACATCGTGAGTTCAGCGGGCCAAGATGTCATATCCAAAGCTCTCACAACGAATCGTCCCACGTCGTACACCGAAGTCATGGAAATGCTCGTGTAACCACCTGAAGGACTGTACGCAGGTGCCTGAGCCGTCATGTTGCGAGCATCCAGAACGTAGTCTCCCTCGCCCCCAGCCCCTGAACTGATACCAATTCCGACTGATGCAAGACCCCCAACGGCAAAACGTTCGTAGAGGATGCCGCAAACGAAGACCGTGGACTGGATGTATGCACGGTAATGTTGCAGCAGCGCCAGAGCAGCGGCCCTTCCACGATCCAATGGGTCGCCCACAGGTCGTAGAGAAGGACGTCCCTCGAACTCCGCCGGAGCAAATCGACGGACTCGAGCTTGGACAGCAGCTTCGATTAGCCTGAGCTGAGGGGTGCCGGTAACAGTCGAGATGACAGTGTCTACGCCCATTAAAGAATGCTGGATCGAAGATGGGTCATTGTAGTCAACGGTTTGGCACTGGTAGCCTTGTGAGGTGAGAGTAGGTTGAGGCTAACACTATTAGCATACTTGCGACGATGAAATGAAACACTGCTAAACAGTATCGTTTCACGGACGAGTCCTGGACAAAGAACGTAACTCACCGTTCGTGATAGAACGAGTAACTGATGACTGGTGTGCTCCTGAATTATCTTGGAAATGATCGTGGCTAGGCCACAGGTTCCTGCTACTGCTATTCGCATCGTGGACATAGTTGCTCCTATATGTTGAGCGCTGGTGTGCTCAAGTTATCCGCTCTTTAAAGGTAATGCTCGATGATTCTGCGACGGCCTTCCATTTATGCCTGTTGTACAGACAGGGAAGAGTTTTTCAGCGTGAGCCTCAGGGCGAAGGTAGGGTACGATGACACTCTGACACCAACAGTTGCGCAAAGTGACAGCTTCCCGTGACTCACAGGGTTCTTGGGGTGAACGGTGAGAGGGATTGAGAAGCATACGATGGCTTCAGGGCACTGGAAAGGAGGGCTAGTACATTTGTGGAAAACAGAAAGGTCGGGAAGCAGGCCCTGATATGGATAGGGGAGGGTGACAGATGAGAGCAGCAAAAAGAAGCAGCCAATAGAGGCAGCAAGAAGCCAAGGTCCGCCTGCCTCCACATAGCACACGATGGTATAACCTAAGAGCGGATTAGTAAAATTGTGGAAGTAGAGGTAGTTACTGGCCAGCAGCTACTCGGGACATCAAGGATTGTCGGAAACTCGACCGGTACGGTCAGGAGAACGGTCACTCTAGAAACAACCTGGTGCAAGAACGTGCGGTTGCCTTGGTTCAACGCCTCTTCCGCTCCTTGGAAGTCGTCCTACCCCTAATCTTATACTCTGATTCGCGGCCCCCACTTGCAGGAGAAACGCACTATCGCGTCGCCTAGGTGCATAATGACAGATGTAGGGTGGGGTGGGGATCTCCTGACCGAAAGACTTGAGGAGGGAGTGACAGTTGCTCCTGATGCCTAGTCTTTGCTTTCCGAAGGATAATTTAGGCGTGAACTGCGGCTCGGGCCTTATTGACGAAGTGCGACCGTTGCTTGACAGTTCCACCGCAGTACCCACATGGCTTGTCATTTCCAAGGTTCAAACCAATCGAATCACATATAAGGCTTACAGAGCGCCCACGTGAGGCTTGCAAGGCGGTTCTTCAAACGCAGGGGAATGCTGAGATGGTGTGCTAGAGCGGCGCGATGCGGAACGTTTCAGCCCTAACTGCATCCTGCGGCTCGCCATAAAACTGATCTCGCCCATCAATGGCGCGTTCCGTGGAATGAGACTAGCATATCGATGCCCGAAATTAGTCTAATACCAGGGAGTCGATCTGGTGGCGCCCATAGGGACGAAGAAGCCGGGTTGGGGCCAAGAGCCACCAACTATAAACTACTGGGGCAATTTTAGAAGTATGCCGGTTACACTTTAGATTCCCGAATAGACTCGCGGCCCCACGCTGTGAGTCGAAGGGAGAGATGGGGGCCGGCGAAAATCCGGTGAAGAAAGAAAGATGCCAAAAGCTCGTTGGATGCAAGGAATCCTTTCCGGTAGTCCCAAGCCCTGCGCGGTGGCTAGTAGACCTGTAATCATAGAGCTCCGAGTGCCCGTCCACTGGTAATAGCATCCCCGCATGGTATGAGTGGCAATTGAGCATGGCGTTGCGGCAGCTTTCGAGTAAACGCGCGACTAAGGCAAGCTGAGCAGAGGGTGGAAGCTACGAACAGGCTTCAGGCTGACCGAAGAAGGGAAAAGGTAAGACGAGAGAACAGAGACAAGGCATCCGCCTAGACAAGCGAGGTGATGAGCGACAATACCGGTCACGGTGGGACAGTAGCACCTGGACGGGGTAATAAGGAACTCGATTTACTCAACCTTGAAGGACTTACGCAAGTACAAGTCAGATGAGCAGCAGCACAGTCAGTCGTCTTCATGGGCAGCGAAACAGCTTTTACTGCGTAACTTCAGCCCGATCTTACGGCTAAGGCGCCAAGCGAAGGAGCAAAGGCAGGCCGCAGTGCTGCCTACAAGACTGTGGGCTTTCAGCTCGACTGATCCACCTGGACCGGTCCATTCTGTCTGCCAACGCTGTATGTGAGTCGAAAGGCCCGAAATGACCTGCAGCCAGTGACGGGTGGTGCGGGGTGTGCAGAAGTGAGAAGAGGGCGGTGGTTTGGCGGTGCCAAGACCTGCATCACGTGCAACCGCACCAAAATCGTGAAGGAAACAGTGACACGCAGCAGCTCTAGCAAAAGTCAGGCACTAGCTTTGTATTGTTCCAGCGACTGGACTTGCCTGCTAACTGTTGTGTGCCGCGCTTCGGTTCCCATTGCGATGTTTCATATCTGCCTCTTGATCATGCTCCAGCTTGAGAGCCGTTCGATGTGCTGGAGTGATGGACGGTCAACACTGCCTCAAAGAAGGCGCAGCAGCTCTCTATTTATTCTACTCCTGGCTCCGTGCACGCGCAATGTAAGTGCATAAAAAGGAGTCCGGGCACACCGATCCATTGCGTCTTGCCCACGCCGTTGCGGACCGAAGCGAGCATCCCGCGGCGCGTTCCCAGACGCGCCTTTCAAGGTCCTCCGCTCCCAGATCACAACATTCCTTGCTCCTCCACCCCCAGACGCTCAGAATAACACATCCCTTTGACTATCTTTAAGCACTCTGCGCATCTACCATGAGCGACAGTTCTTCCCCGCCCTCCTCTGCCTCCAATTGCGACAGACGCTCTAGTCCGTCCTCAGGCGGCCTTGCTTTCCTGGTCCACTCTCCCAATACCGTACAAAACAATCTTCCTCCCGACGTGGACAACAAACCACTCGCTCGTCAAAAGCGTCGCCGCACCAGGTACGTAGTATTTGTTGACGGTCGGCAACTTGCCTACGCGTAGTTGCTGGCGCTGCTCGCGTCCGAAGTAGTTACCCCACACGTTCAATACTTACATACTCGCCCACAGCAAAGAAGATGAGGACATATTGAAGGCAGAATACCAGCGGAATCCGAAGCCAGACAAAGCGACGCGCCTAGATATAGTCCGTCGAGTCGCGCTTGGAGAGAAGGAAGTCCAGGTCAGTTACTATCCACCAGCTTTAATGTCGCATGACTAACCACCAGTCAGATCTGGTTTCAGAACAAACGCCAGAACGACCGCCGGAGATCCCAGCCCGCCCAGACGTATGACCTGTACTCTTCTTCAGGCCCAAGTTCCGACGGCCCTCACCCCGCAACCATGTCTCCCAGCCTGCAAGTTGCCGTGGACCGCGACGATGACGCGCAAGAACACGATATTGAAGAGAAGGACAGTCCGCAGACCGCTTCCGAGCCCGCGAATCTACCGCCACCCACAACCACAACTACTTCCTCTGCGGGTCTGGACACAAGTCTAGAGCCCTCGCAAACACAGCAAACGTTAGACGCAGAAACGCAATCCACAGATGCAACCCACGTGCAATCAACAGATCCGCAGTCGTACGACACAGCGCCAACAGAATTACCTTGCTCGCAACCTCTGCCATCGTCCCAGGAATCCGCGCAAGGACTGCGACCAGGATATCTTGCAAACAGACGTAACGCATCGTTCATCAAGAGTCAGGAGACCGACTTGCTAGGACCCATACCTACGAATGCAGTTTCGGACAAACCGCAAAATTCGACCCGTGGATTGAAGCGCACGCATTCCTATGTGCGCCTTTCCATGACCGTTGACGGCAAGGCTCGTGTGGTCACGGATGCCGACGAATCGCCGTCCCCGCCAAAGTCCCGTCAGCTCCCTCCAGCTGTCTTCGAGGGACGCTCTGCTGGGCTTCGCCGAAGCTACAGTGCGACTGGTCTTCATGATAGGTTCGCAGAGGCGAGTGCTCAGGGACCACCAAGTAAATTCGCTCGAACATCTATCGGACGATCTCGCGACTCCAGAGCATGGGAGTTTTGGTGCGATGCAGATGCTAGGAGTTCCTTGACGGAGAAAGCCGACCAAGAGGGGAGCGGCTCGGCAGCAGATGCCATCAGCTTGATTCGAGCAAACAGCAGAGGAGCACTCCGATCCAACCCAAATAGGACGAACACCCCATTACTATCGCGAGAAAACTCGAAGAGAGCGAAGCAGGATGGAAAGGTTGCCAAAAAGGGTTTAGTCCGAGCGTCAACAACATATGGTCGGCTACAATCAAGATCAAATGAGCCTGGATTAGCGAAATCGGAGGAAAAAGGCGAAGACAACGAGAACGACTTCGAGATTCCCCAAACTGAGTCCGATAAGGAGAACTGGGAACCTGAAGATCCGGCTCCAAATTCTGGTCGCGCCAAAGGCTCTCAGTCGCAGCCCGCATTCCAACGCCGGTCACGGCAGATTCTAGGCGAGAACACGGAGATTTTGAGTCAGTGCAGTAGTCTTGGTGTCATGATGGATCGAGAAAAGAGACTGAAGGCGAATCGGAAGAGCAAAGGTGCGGAGGGAGAGAACGTTTGTCCCGACGATGATGAGGAGGTTGCTTCGTTCATGGGTAGTAAAGGCGCTTCTAGCGTACGCAGCGTCTCTAGTGGCGAGGAATTAGGATGTGTGGAAGGATTGTTGGCCTTGGCTAACTGGAGGTAAGGTAGGTGCGCGGGCATGTTGGATGTCGAAGAGTCGTCTTAGCTATTATGGTTGGGTGTCTAGGTGGCCGGCTGGGTATGGTGTACTAGGTGTACTACGGTGTCGTCGGTTGTTGATATTAATCTTCATCCTTATCAGCTCCATGGTGTCATCTAAAGCGTTTGTGTGTAATGAGCGTTTCATGCTTGAGGATCATCGACAACAGTATGGTTTTAGGTTCAAGTCCACGACGTCTCATGTCTTCGATTTTCCGGATGCGTCGAAACAATACCGCCTCCAAAACGTGGGCACCTATCATAGAGCTACGAGAGCGTAGAATCATGCTATTCAACTTTCAGAGGTGCGTGTGTTGACTCTACACTCTTAGACGCCTGCTGACATTGATTCACAATACATGAAGCTCACCACCAGTCCAACACATCCAGCACGCCAACGAAGCATGCTAAATGTCGACAACCGACGGGACCACCCACTACCTAGCATGACCCTATTTCTCCTCGTGTGTTGTTCATTCCATGTGCAAGCGGACTTAATCGATCATCAAACCGGTCAATTGGCCCAATGTACCCGCCTCGATGAGCGTCTCTATGTTGTCGATCGTGATTGTTTGACCGCGCGTGAACGCGAATGTTTGGCGTCTGTGCAGCTGCCGAATGCCTGCTGATGCCAATGGAGATTGTGTCAGCTGTTGTTTACTTGAGGAACGACTTATAAACACACCTAGGGTTTCGCTATTTTGCCGTCGACGCTTGAAGAGCCGCCAAACAACCAGAACGGATGGAGGACAGGTGACCAGGAGGGTCATGATACCGATCAGAGCTTCTATGGACAACGCCATGGGTTGCGAGGTTTGAGCGGAGAAGTGTTATGACTCTTGAGGATGATCAAAGAGAAGGCACCATCGTTCGGAACCTCTTCGAGAGACCGCGATCGGGCTTATATTTGGAAGACAGGCGATGAGGATTTTGGGACGAACCAATCATCATCATCTCGCGAAGGCAGAGCAGGAAGACATTCGCTAGTGCTATAGCTTACTCGATGCTCTCCGCTCAGAGCTACAAAATGCAAAGAGATTTTGGGGGTGTCCAATGGGGACAGCCTAGGATTTGCACGATTGTCGCGGTACAAATTGGCGCCATGCAAGATTTTGGCAACATCCAATATCATGCATACGGCTGGAACGACAGTGGTCCGAGCGGGTGGAAGCCATCAAGCTACGTGGATTGCCAAGATCTACGACGACTGAAACATTGGAGGTGCTTGCAAAGATTTGGGGTGCGCCCAATGAGAGGCAATGTGGTTCTCGGGCTTTCGTACGTCCCGTCCTTGACGGCGAGGTTTCCATTGCCAGGGCTCTTCACCGTATTTTCTGTGCACGGTTTTGCCCCTGCATCCGTATGCGAGGTTTGGGCCTCATTGGTTGGATCCAAAATCGTCGTGCATTACGCCCCGTGGCAAGGTTCACTTCAGCCTTGCTGCAGCTGTGCCGCACTTCAAATGAAGAGCACCGTCCCCCGGTGAGATGATTGAAGTTCGCCTAACAACACCTCTTCTTACCCGGTTCTATCTTCTACTGTCTACTGTCCTAGACTTCTTTACGGCCTGACTGCTGTAGATATGTCGCTTCCCTGGGAACTCCACAAGGAGACCATAGAAGACCTTTACCTATCAAAAAACCAACCTCTGAAGCAAGTTATGGACTTCATGGACACGATCAACTTCAAAGCAACGTAAGAAACCCAGCGATACTAAAGTCAGAATGTTCACCAGTACTAGAAAGGGTCAATACGAGCGCCAGTTCAAAAAATGGCAACTCAAGAAATACAGCAAGTCGGATCAATGGAAAGCAATTGGGCACAAGCTGCAAAAGCGGAAAAGAGAAGGCAAAGAAAGTGAGGTGTATCTGGATGGTGAACTTGTACCTCCGCAGAAGGTCATGAAAGCAGTCGCTCGACCCAGCAATCATGTCTCTTTCATCGAGAAGTTTCAAACAGGTATGTCTCGTTATGTCAATTCGTTTCTTTCTCCGTTTCTATCAGCTCCGAGTACCTTCAAGTATTCATGCGTGGCCGCAGATCTTTTTCCGTGACTTACTTATTTTATACAGCCCCTTCTCCGAAGACGCCGCCAGGAATGACTATTTGTACACCAGATTCCATTATCTACGGCGTACAACCCTCTGATACCATTCAAATTTTACCTTGCTTAAGGTTTCAGACACAATTGAGGTCATTCGGTAAGTACACCAGGTTCAAATCATCTACCTATCTGAGGAAATCAACCAGCAAGCTTGTTCAGAAATTCAGATATTTCGGAACTCCCTCCTCGGTCCACATTTGGGTCCATCTTGGATTGTGGCCACACCAGTGTCTTCCAGGAAGAACTTATCTCGCAAAAAAAACTCAGTGCCCAAATAGCGGGACTCCGAGGCTCTCTTGCGACACTAAAACCCCCAGAAGAATATGACATCGGCCCTGCATTGACGCCAAGGGAAACTTGTACAACGGTGTCGATGCCAAGCTCCATCCACCTCCTCAAAATGGCTATTTACGTCCTATCCAACAAACTTCACACTGACGATTACAAAAGAAGAGATCTGTACGAACAACTAGCAGTCAAATGGTGCTGCATCCCGGAGAATCTCAAACATTTCGAAAGACTTCTTAGATCCAAAGAGCCTACCATATGCGCCTTGGCTGAAGCAGTTTGGGAACCTGCTTTGAACGCTGCCGACGAGAATCTGATTCGAGGAATTATTTCCGAGATGAGCTTTGATATCGGCCATCTCATCTTACCTCATCACGTCGAGCGCGTCGTGTCGATGCGCAATCTTGACCTCACCAAATTACTCATCAGGTATGCTTCGAATAATATCGAACAGCGTTCCAAGATGCTGGCATCAGCTCTCCAGGAGGGAGTAAGTACCGGACAGGTCGACTTGGTGAAACTACTACTTGAAGAACACAAATTACTCATCAGGTATGCTTTGAACCGTTTCGAACAGTGTTCCGAAATGCTGGCACCAGCTCTCCTGGAGGGAATACGTGCCAGACAGGTCGAATCAGTAAAACTGTTAGTTGAAGAAAACGTCGATCTCAACTGGAGATCGGACATCAGTTACGACCAGCAAACTCCTTTGGAAGTTGCGGTGATATATGAGAACGTAGAACTTGTCCAGATTCTTCTCAGCGCAGGCTCAGATGTCAATTCTGTCTACGAACCGGAGGACCGGGAATGTGCTTTTCCTAGTGCTCTTGAAATTGCCATTCAGAATGAAAATACAGTTCTTATCGAACTTCTCAGAGAGGCTGGAGCATGCCTCAACTTTGAAGGCTTTGACGGTCGTCCCCGCGGAGTTCTTTCCATGGCAGCTGATACAGGAAATAGAAGTCTTGTCGAAGAGTTCCTCGAAGCTGGTGCTGACATCGACTCAGTTGACCGCCGTGGAGAGACTGCCCTCACGAAGTACGTTCGCAAGGAGGACTTGAACATGGTGATATATCTTCTCAGTCTTGGTGCCAAAGCCAGTCCACCTACATTTTTAAAAGAAGAAGAAGAAGACGATGACGATAGCTACCTCCGCCCCAAAGCATCACTGGAAGCGGCAATCGACACCAAGAATGATGTTATTATTCGAGTACTGCTCGGCTCTGGGGCATCTTGTGACGATCCTAACCTTTTTCGATCCGCTGTCGCAACGGGTAAAATTTGGCTTGTTCAGTTACTTCTGGACAAAGTCTTGGACGCGAGCGTACTTAAGGAATGCGAAGAAAATGCTCTTCAGACTTCAATCGAATGCGAAAATCTCGAAGTGTTTCGTCTCATCTTAGGAAGAGACACAGAACTCCCTGGAAGCTGCCTCAGCGAGGCAGTCGAATTTTATGATGCTCATGTCGGCTACGAAATGGTCGAAAGCCTTCTGAAAAAGGGCATGGATGTAAATCTTGCTGACGGAAATTTCGAGTGGACACCTTTGATCCGCGCGATAGACAACGAGAGCCTGGATATCGTTGAGCTGCTCTTGAACAACAACGCGGACATCAACAAGTCCCTTAGACGTGGTAGTCCATTGAAAGTAGCAGTTTTCAGGAGGAACACCTCATTGGCCGCCCGTCTTCTCGAGCTCGGCGCCACGCCGTTTGATACTAAAGCTCTTTCTGCTGCTGTATTAAACAAGGACACGGATACCTTGGACATTCTTCTTCAAGCAATCTCAACAAGGAATGATGTCAGTGACAAGGAAGATCTTTACGGTCTACCCCTCCGAGCAGCTATCAACACTTTCAATACCGACTTGATTGACTTCTTCCTGAAGGCTGGAGGTGCTCTTAATCGCCGAGAGATTTACAGCGGTCTCGATCGGCACTTCCATTACGAACTCTGTGCGACACCACTGGAGTTTGCCGTTAGAGGGGGAAATACAGCTGTCATACGTATGCTCCTGGAACGCGGCGCCAATCCAAACATCCCCTTCGATACTGGCTATGGGGTCACAGCATTAGTACGATCAATTCTCCAAGAAAATCTAGAGGCTACTAAATTGCTTTTACACTACCGAGCCGACGTGAACGCTTGGCCTTGCCCCTATCATTACGAGGAGTGGTCAAATAGATCAGGAAATCTCACCGCTCTCCAAACCGCTGCAAAGATTGGCAGCCCTGAGATGGTTCAGACCCTCCTCGACGCTGGAGCCGACGTTCATGGGCCTTTAGGTATCCGAGGACTTACCGCACTGCATCTCGCGGCCAGTGAAGGGCATCTTAGAGTTGCAAAAATGCTCATTCGGGCTGGAGCAGCAACTGATGTCGATGCTGTATCCTCTGGTCTTGGCTGGAGAGACACCCGGACAGCTGGCTTCTTTACCAAGACATACAGATTCCGTGAAACGAGGACTGCCTTGGAACTGGCTGCGGAGCATGGCAGAATCGACATGGTTCAGCTGTTGCTTAACGCCGGGGCTGATCTGGAACTTCCACGACAACCGAACAAGGAACATGAACGTCTAGGGGGGAATTCTAACCCAGAGCAGGATGATTCGGCTCTGGGGTCTTGTTGGAGTGTGTTTTCGAAGCCATGCGAAAATCCAGACTGTAGCGACTATGATGACAGTGTTAAGGATAGCTTGCCTGGTGATAGGCAATACGAGATCGCAACGGGATTAGCAAAGAGGAATAGATTCATGGCTGTCGCGAGGCTCATCACCACATATCGAGAGCACAAGATCATCAACGGGTAGCTACTTTCACTTCATTTCCTTAGTCAATCAATTGCAGTTTGAAAAGTTCTCATCGAGTTATCCATTTGTGTAGCTTCGAAACAAAAGAAACATAAACCACGCTGTGATAAGTGTATTTGATCCAGAACCAAACATGCACCAACATTCCATGCAATTTTGACTAGTAGAAAGGAAGCCGAAGACCAGCCCAAGCTTACTCCTTCATGACAACACCCTCGGCCTTGGCCTCTTCCGCCTTGATCCCCTCGACCTCGGTCTTATCGGATTTGATCACATCCGACTTGACCACGTCCGAATTCATCTCATCCGCCTTGATCACATCTGTCTCAGTCTCCTCAGTCTTGACCTCTTCAGCCTTGGACTCCTTAACCGCGGACTGCTCAGCCTTGGTCTCTTCAGCCTTAGTCTCTTCAGCCTTGCATTCCGCAGCTTTGGTCTCTTCGGCCTTGCATTCCGCAGCCTTGGTCTCCTCAACCTTGGTCTCCTCAACCTTGGTCTCCTCAACCTCGGCCATCTCAGCATCCTCAGCCTTGGTCTCTTCAGCAACCTTAGCCATAGGCTCTTCGGGAAGAACGGTCTTCGCAGCCGGAGCCTTCTTCCAGAACTTATTGACCATTGCCTCCTCCAATACACCGCGGGGTGACTGCATCTTGTACACTTCGAACTTGAGTGGCCAGAATTGGGCGTCACACAGCGCGACAGCCTTGCCGCCGGCCTGCTCCGTCGCATCTCTCCAATCGCGGAGTAGTCGAACCAGTTTGCGAAGGTCCTCCTGGCGTTCAACCTCCCACTCACTGAGCATGCGCTTGGAGTCGAAGGCTTGAATCGAACTGAACGAGCCGTCGCGGTAGGTTCCGACAATGATAGTTGGAATTCGTCCGAAGTACATGCGCGGAAAGTGGTATGGGGTGTCGATGGGCTCTTCCTTGAACTTGTTGCCTTCAAAGCGGGCGGTGAGTTCGGCGTAGCAGGGTGCCTTGATGCGCTTGCTGGAGGGCAGAGAGGCGGTTGTGGATGCAGACCCGTTAGAGACGTTGCGCGAATGGGTGCCGGCCTGAGCGGACTCGTTAGAGCCGACGGACTTGATAGAAGCGGTATCAGATTCTGGGAGCGCGACGGTGGGAGTGACGTTGTTTTGGGTCGGGGTTTCGATGTCCTGAGCAGCCATTTTAGCATCAGCAGGCTCGGAAGAGGGCTTCTCGTTATAGGTCGTATCTACCTTCACAGTCGCGCCGCCAGTACGATCTAGTCCCTGCAAACGTCGGATGCGTGCCTCCTTCTCGGCCTTCAGAGCCTCAGCGCTATGCTTCTTATCTGCGTCTGACACCGTTCCTTCCGTGACGTAGTCCCCGCCCTCGCAGAATGCATGGGGCTGGTACTTGACGATGAAGTTTAGACCGCCGAGGGTATAGCGAACAGCTCGATGATGAGTGTGCGCACCGTTCTCCTTCTCGGGAAACTCGGAGCAGTGCTTTGGGAAGCTATGCTCGTAAGGCCGCAGACTTCCCCGCTTTGGGTCGATATTAACCGACGTATACTGCTCGCGACTAGTAAGAACGAGCGTGTTCTCAACGAGGTGGAGTTCGATGCGAATGTCCTCTTCGGTTTGGCCATCAAGGAACCCAAGCAGAGTGAGGAAAGTTCCGGTGTCGGCAACGATATCGACATCCTTCATGTCATAATCCGGTTTTGTCTTCTCGAGAGCGCTGAACAAGGGCTTGAATGGATAACGCTCCTCGAGATGAGCGTCTTGGTTGACATAGTGGGTGCCCGAGTTGCGTGGGATTCTCTCAGGCAGCTTCGCCGGTGGAGTGAACTTCGGTGGGGCGCCTGTCAGAGTCGTAAGTAAGATGCGATTTTGGCTACATATCACTCGCGGTAGTCGTCACTAGGTGACGGTCGATGTGAGACTTACCAGGCGCATGGGATGACTTCCAATCATCGAACGACCAGTTGTAGGACACCACCTCTTCAAGATCGCCAGTGATGGTGGCATTGGAGCCGGGATCCTTCAATCGCGAGGTGACCCACGATTTCAAGGGACGTCCAACAACGTCCTCATACATCCAGGTACGCTTGATAGCTTGCAGTGATTCTTTGGTGACAGGCGCTCCGTTCGCCGGAGTGTACTTCGCGCCACCAGGCGCAGCGCCGGGAGCATAGACGGGAATGACCTTAGCTGCAGTGCCAGTTGGAGCTCGGGAAGTCTGCGTGCGGGTAGCGGTCGCATAGCGAGAGGCTAGGAGAGGCATGTTGCTGATTTTGTGTAGCGAAATGGAATCAGGAGGTGCCTGCGGCGTGTGACAAGTACAGATGGGACTTGGATGTTCTGCGCAGCAGAGTGAGTCGGGTGATGGGCAGCAAAGTAAGTCGAAAGAAGTATGTAAGAGGGAAAAAAAGAAGCCAGAGGTGAGTCGCGAGAAGTAGAAACCGTTGGACTTCGGGGGGCTGGGAACAATAGCAAGCGAGCCTATTGAACCGTGGTTGGGCTTCAGGTGAGGCCGAAGGCTCTGGGTGACGGCGCCAAGACCGGAGAAACTCGCAGCAAACGGAGTCGACCACCTCATGACCTGCCCAAAGCGCAGCCAGCGCAAGCAGAAGAAGAGCTGCTAGTGATATATCGACTTTACAAAAAGAAGTGGACGGTAACACGCTACTCCCGGGAACTGGCTTGATAAGGAGGTGCCCAGGTAGGTGATCAGGGACCGCCGGGCCTGGTTCGAGTAGCTCGCAAAGTCGATCAGTTCTTATAGTACAAGGAAAAGATGCGCTCCCTATAATCTTTTGATCTCACTAGGTATGCAACTCTTTGTGAGGAACAGAAGGTGGTGCAGAATAGTACATATTAGGGCAGTAATACAACGAGCCGACGCCATCAGTTTCTGGAAAGGCGCATGAATTCACACTTGTAGAATGAAGAGGAGGTGGAGTTTTAGGAAACTAGACTGCAGTGAAGTAGGCCTCGCTTGCCTCACCTTGACTTGAGCCTTCTCGGATTGGAACAGGAGTAATTCCAGCTACCAGATTCTCCTCATCGCTACACAAGAAATCATCAGAGCCTACCTCTAAAGCTCGCCGGGCCAGATCTCCTCCGCAATGTGCCTTACGAGCGCTAATTTCTTCTTCATCACCTCTGTATCTATCAAGTTACCTTCCGCGTGACTCGCAAAGCCGCATTGCGGACTGACCCCGAGTCTCTTCAGAGCGTCCTCCTTTGTCTGACCACTGCCCTTCGCAATCATCTCTGCAGCCAGGTAAATGCGCTTTCTTCATCTCCTCCTTGTCTTCTATTTCTGGTAATTTGGACGTGATGACGCCAAGGATGACATTCTCGTTCTTTGGCAGGCTCTGAAGCGGATCAAATCTCCCGGCGCGGGGAGTGTCATACTCGAGATAAAAAGTAGACACGTTGAAATCTCGAAATAGCTTCGTGGCGATACGATCGTAGCCACCATCGGAAAAGTGGCGAGAGTTCACAAAGTTCCCTGGATATGGTTAGTATACTGGAAACATTCACCCAGTTGGTACGGACCTCTGCAAAGATGAATGCCAATATGCATGTAGGCGGGAGCCTTTGATATACGCTCGTTATAGAAATTGATGTAAGCATGGAATAATTCTTTGATCGTTGTCGAGTTGTCCTTATCGCTCTTCCATCCCTCAATCATCTTCTCGGAGCAGAAATCATCGAAAGAAGTAGGGAATGAGCCTACACGCAAGGTCTCGGTCATCTATTTGCACTTTACTTAGGCCCACTTTGTAGAGGATGTCTAGCTAGGTCTGGTACGCTGCTGCGATATCGTTAAAATATCCCGCATCGCTCCTCTACACGTCTTTCGGATACACTTTGCCCGCTGCGTACCGTAGATCGGGGCGGCCAGGGTGAGTTTCATCTCTCCCCATCTTTCCTTCGGAAGCAGCGTCTTCAGATATTCGACCTGTCCGACATATGCGCTCTGTCCTGTATGCTTGATTTTTCCAGTGCAAATTACAGTCTCTCCGGGTTCATGTCCCGATTCTGTAAAGGCAGCAATGTCAGGCACATAAAGACGGAAGAGCTCAATATCAGGGTTCTGAATTTTTCCAAACCCATCTAATCCAGGGATAAAGGTTCGCCAGAACATATGCCTCCTATCCGACCCGGCTTGTAAGCGCTGCTCTGAAAAACTATTTCTCCACACATATACCCACCGATACTCTCCATCCGAAACAGCCCTGAGCCCCAACTGTACTTGCGTCTGCACGATCTCTTTGATGGCCTGGTCCTCAAGAGGGGTGAGATCTTTTGAAATTGCCTCATTCTTGTCTACCGCGAAACGTTTATCCAGCAATAATTGTGGGCGTTTCAAGGAGCCAAGATGCTCCGCTCTGAAGGGTGCGTTACGGTGTATATGGGACGACATTGTGCACTGCGAAAGGTGCAAAACTCGCTGATACGCTTTGAAAACGTCAGTATCTTGAAGGGTCTAGAGAACTCAAGGACTTACCTGTAGGGGCAGAGCCATTCTGGATAGAACCGGTCACAGTCCATCTCCCAAGCCACTCTAGATGACTCTGGTGCGGTCATCGCCTCTAAGATGAGCCTAATTGGCGCCATTCAAGACCGTTAAACTGGGTGCATTCTGTGGTGCTGTCGGCAGTTGAAAGAGGCTCAAGAGGTGACCTCCACCCATTGAACACAAAGACCCTATCCTTCCTTCAGGGATTGCGCGAAGAATCTCATTCTAGAGCGAATAGTATCGGCTAGAATATGTTAATTGGAGCCTGTACGGATAATGATGAACCTCTGTACTTCTGCAGAGGTGGAGTTGAGGCCGGAGGGGATTTCTCCGAGCCGAGCACGAGAACTAGTCCATCAACCTCCCCTTCAGCTACCACTCTTTGCCAAAAACTACCCTTTTTATTACAGCAGCGTCCTCGGCGATTATTCAAATTGGCATTGGTGAAGCCAAGCTGTGCTCTAGCTTTCATGAAGGGTGATATGTTCTCACCTCCCTTCCTGTTCTACGCGGCGAAGAACCCTCTGTGCCAAGTGTTCTTCCACTGATCAGCATTTCAAGTCTTCCCTGGTGAGTCTATGAGCTTATGGACAGTGCCCCGTCATTTCTGGCCACCTCTTTACAGGTGTCCGAGACGCAGCGAAAAAATTACAACGATCCTGGCCATCCTCACGGTCAAGAAGCCGCTGATGCCCTGTGGCATGTATGGGCAGAAAGCAAGTCTTGCACAGGTTCTAGTAGCGACGCAAATAAGCATACAACTCGAAAAGTTCTCGTACTCAGCGAGTCGTAGATGGCTTGATTTTCTGTTGCTTAAAGAATGACGTACGTTGTCAACACTGGCCTACCGCTTCGGGACTTTTTCGTCTCTGATCTTCACTTCACCATTGCTTTCGAAACCCCATTCTTCTGCCAGACGGATTAAGTCTTGAAGTATTTTCCATCTTGAAGATCGGCAAGAAGCGTGCATTGCTGAGGATTCCAGCCCAGTTCTTCTCGAGTCTTTCTGTTCGAGACAGGACCATCAGCACCAATAATTGAAGCAAACGGGCCGAAATGCCTCTGGGCCTCTTCCATAGACTTCGACTCGATCGGGAGGCCAAGATTTTCCCCAATCGTTTGCGCAATGTCCTTCACCTCGATACCCTCCTCCGCGACGATGTGGAATGTCGAACCAGCGCTCGTCTTTTCCAGAGCCAGTCGATAGGCAACGGCCGCATCCAGATAGTGGACCGCTGGCCAGTGGTTGAGGCCATCGCCGACGTACACGGAAGCGCCTTTCTCACGTGCAGTGGCAATCAGGGTAGACATGAACATGTGGTCGTCACCGTCGCCATGGCAGGTTGGTGGCAGCCGCATGACCGCCGTACGGACACCTTTGGAAGCAAGACCCTTAGCCAATACCTCCGACTCCCCACGAAGAGCGGTCATAGGCGATGAGGTGTCGTGGGAGTCGTCTTCATTCCCGACACGGCCATGAGGGAGAACCATCGTCACAGAGGTGATGATCAGAGGACAGTTCGACCCGGCGAGTGCATCTGCCATGGCCCGAATGGCTGCCTGGTCGGTTTGACAGCTCTGCGCGAAGTTGGCGAAACCGTGAGCGAAATCGAATGCCAGGTGGATTACGCCACCCGACGCAGCGGCCCCCTCCTTCAGGACATCTAGGTCATGAAGGGAGCCCCTCTGCACGTCGGCTCCAAGGGCAGTCAGCTCCTCTGCTGCCTTTTCGGAGCGAGCAAGCCCCAAGACAGTGTGTCCTCCCTTGAGAAGTTCTTTGGTGACTGCTTTCCCGATGAGGCCGGAGGCACCAGTGACGAAGACGCGCATGATAGCTTGTAGGGGCAAAAGAAACTTTTAGTGAAGAGTAGAGCAAATGCACTTGATCGAGGGATATGTGGGAGTAATTTGGAGTCAGGTTGACTTCTCTGCACCCTGGGGAACATGCCCTCCTTATATGCGTTTTGCTGGAGGGAAACTGGTCCGTTCAAACGAGCCCTAGGGATGGAAATGAGAAGTGCGAGGGGGGATGCAGAGCGATTACTTGATACCGTAGTGGTGGTGACATGTCTGGATTTCATTTAGTCTATGCACATTGCCGAAGAGGGTTAGTAGACGTCTCCGCCAATGACATTTTCAGCAACGCGACAAATGGCATAGCGCCGCAGATCCGCTGACGCATGGCGCCCCGCCAATGATTGACAAGACGGAAACAGTAAACATTATAACCTTGCAACAAGTTCCACGAGACGAGCGTCGGTTAGCGTATGCTTACGGCATTCGGAGATACCAGCAAGACAGGCGATCGCAACAGTGCTGCCCTCGACATCAATCGACTCTGAATACCGGAAGATATTCTAACCGATATTTGCTGGAACTGGAACATGGAATCCACTCCGACAATGTCTGCTAAACGGAAGCGAAGGCCCTACAGCAAATCGCGCTTCGGCTGCCGAAACTGCAAGCTCCGGAGGGTGAAGGTGAGTTGGGCATGCCACTCGCAGGACACCAAGCTGATATTCCCAGTGTGACGAGGCCAGGCCCCAGTGTCAGAGATGCAAGGATTACGGCGTATTGTGCAATTTTGTGGCAGGGGCTTCAGACCTCCAGAATTTGGCAACAGGACTCCAATGCCGGAGATCTGAAACGGCGAATCGGCTGAGCTTAAAAAGCCCCCTTCCTCCGCCGTTAAGCCTGCCCGTTGTCTGTTCCGATGGTGTTGCTAGCTTCGAGATGCACGCGCAATGCATGGCTAGGTTGGAGCGATTTCGGATGCGTACCCTCCACTCATTCAGCACCGAAATGATGAAGATCTGGCAGCATCAAATCCCGTATATTGCCTTCAGGGTAGGGGAGAGTCCCATCCATTCATCCTTACTCACTTCTGTTCATATTGGTTGGGTCAATCCGCTGACTAGGTAGAATCCGTATTTGATGCATACCATGCTTGCGGTATCAGCGGCGCACGAGCGCTACCAACATATGCCCACAAGCACCCACCGGACGAGAACCGAGACACACCACTCTTTTCATGGCGTTCTTCTTTTCAATCAGAAGCTTTCCCAACCCATCGACTTGTCAGATCGAGACCCTCTGTGGGCCACAGCAGCACTGCTAGGCATAATGACTATTGCTTCCTTTGACGCAGCTACCCCACAAGAAGCCTGGCCACTTCGACCATCGAATCCGTCGGATCTAGAGTGGTTTCGGTTGAGCGACGCGAAATGGACCATATGGAATCTGACCAATCCCTTGCGGCCTGGGGGTATTTTCCGGGCCATGGCCCACGAGTATGCTCAGATGCATTTCGAATTGCCTCCTGTCGGCGCGGAAAGTATTCCCCCGGCCCTGGCCGAGGTATGCAACATGAGCGCTTCAAGCAACGAAGAGAACAACCCATACTTCGTAGCAGCTCATGTTCTCGCTCGGCTACAGAGGCTCTCAGACAGCGGGTCCGCAGACATTCGAATGGTGATCTTCATGTGTCAAACACAGCCGACGTTCCAGAATCTATTACGAGAGAAGGACCCTGTGGCTCTTTTATTGCTGTCGCTATGGTATGTGCGGACTGGTAGCGTGTTGTGGTGGATTGAGAAACGTTCTCGCATGGAGAACCAAGCCATCCGTCTGTACCTCGAGCGATTCCACCGCGGCAACGGCAGTATTCATCAATTGCTACCTTCGTTACCAGAGCACGTCACGTGATCTGAATGCTCAGTAGATCAACCGAGTTGTATAATACCTGTTGGAGACGATGTAGTCCTTGAATCGGCAGTTCATTTTACGCAAAGCGCTCGTAATGGTGCACTGGAGTACGCTTATATGCGAGACGGGATTGTTGCTAACATCTTAGCACTGAATTGAACAACAAGAACAAGGGCATGTAGCCGTCAATCATGGCGACGCTCCCCCTACGCCCCCGGAAAGAGACGGAAATAGAAGACATTATAAAGGATCAGTAGGTCGCTCGTCGCCCTTGCGAGGCAGCAGATCAGTCAACTTCAAGCCGGCGTAAAACCATCCTCAATCACGCCCCCGACCAGCGCGATGGGTTTCCTCTTCCCAAACTGGATATTCGAACTGCTTTCGAAGTTTGCGAATCCACTAGTACCATTGCTAGCGCACATGAACTTGCAAATCCGATCCACGCAGGCGATGTCGTGATGATAGCACACCAGACACTTCGCTGGCACAGCCGTACACTCTACATCTAACACTTCGCCCGTGGTCAAAGTGAACTTCACCCGCCCGCCGCGGTTGATACAGCTATCCATCTCCATGTACGTAAGGAGATCAATGGAGGAAGCTAGGATAACTTGGCCATCTCGAACGACCCATCCAAAATTGGCAATCGCATCGTTGGTGGAATGCCAGGAGACGGCAACAAATGAGAAAGAGGGTCCAGCAGTGCCGCAAACCCAGCGGTGGGAGTATACGGTATTGCCCCAATCCCTGGGGCCCCAGGCGTGGTCACGGAGGCCAAGACCGGTGATGTTGTAGGTTTTACCCTTCATGGTCAATGTTCCAGAGACGTTTCCAGGAACGTCGAAATGTGCTGTTGCGAACTCGGTCGACATCACACCTTTTTTCGGGAAACAATCGACATTGGGGCCATGGTCTTTGAAGACAAGTCGAGCGGTTGTGTCGGTATCGTTGATGGTCCAGATGTGCTCGCCGTTGATGAACTCTACGGTGCAGGTGTCATCGCCGCTACCAAAACCGCCGGGAAGATGATCTTTCTCACGCAGCGGGATCGATTGAGTGCGCTTGAAGATGCCATCTGGGGATATCAGGTTCGTCCATAAGGTTGCGACCGCACCGCTTTCAGCATTGGGCTCGTGACCAAGACGATGGAATCCACCAATGTTATTGTCCTCATCCCACCACACCAGGACAAAACTCTCCTGCCAGTTCCTCGACGGTCCAGGCTTCTGTGGGACGTTGGCCTCGTCTCCGTGGACTTTGAGTGTCTTCCCTCCGCCTAGTTGAAGCTCCGCGGGAGGATCTACTTTCGATGCGCCGTTGAGTTTCGAAGCTTCGCGATTCAAGCCCTTGGAAGTTCCATTGGCCTGAGCGATTCCCTCCACTGGCTTCTCTGGTGAAGGTGCCGTGTAAGTAAGACCCATACCCATGAAGATTGCCTGATAACCGAGCTCGACCATGTGAAAGCGGATGTCCTCGTTGAGACTACTTTGAAGGTTCTATCACTTGTCAGATTTCCGAGTCATTCTATACGTCAAGATGCTTATTACTCACGTAAGTTGCTCGATTGAATGCCAATTCAACTCGCAGGACAGAATAAGCCTGGCAAAAAGCAAAATTCTCTTCTTTGATCTCCTGCCCTCCGCAATCTTTATAATGTTGAACGAACTTTTCCCAGTCCATTGCTTGCGAGACGAGAGGCTTACAGTATGCAAGATCAAGCTCTGGGCATGCAAAGTCTGCACATTCCCAGTCAAGCACTGCTGTTATGTTGTCGTCTTCGACTAAGATGTTGTGCACGCTGTAATCGCCGTGCGTAGGGACAGGGCGTCGTGTATCTTTAGGTATGTTCCGTTTGAGCCTGATTCAGTCAGCTTTATGATTGAAGCAACAACAGTGACTAGTGTAAGATGTGAACGTGAAGAGAAGGAAAATTGAAGAACGACGAATTCCGAATTCTACATGGAAAAGACATCACGCACCAGTCAAATATCCAAGTCATGTAGGGAGACGGCAGATGCTGCACGTCAACCAGATACTCCGCCCAGCCCTGAATACTCCTTCGGAACCGCTCCTCAACAGTCTCCGAGAGCGCTTCTGGTGTTTCATACACCTCGAAATATTCAGCGAATAAATCTAGAGGAGTTGCATGCAGCTTAGCAAGCAGCTCCGCAAGCTGTAATAGCATTTTCTCCGAAAAGCTCTTTTCGCCGGTCTTGAGAAACATCGAGGCCCCAGATCCTGGCATTCGGCACATGGTGAAGAAGCTTCCATCAATGCCGTCGTCCTTCCTTGCCAGATCGAATGGTTTGGGGCATGGGAAGTCGGTTTTCGAGAGGCATTTGAGGAAGAAGTATTCTTGCTCGACCAGATACATACTCCTAAGCACAATTGGCGCGGGATCCATCTTTCGGACTACGATTTCTTCAGTTTTGCCGCCATCGTATTCGACATCGCAGACGTACGTCTGCTTTCCGTGTCCACCGGTCATAGGTGCAAAGGAAGAGACTTTGAGATCACCCCTCTGCGAGATGAGAAACTTCTCCAGGTAATCTTTGGAAAGTGCAGGAGCTGACTCTTTCTTCTCAACACTGCCGTCATCTTCACCGTACAACGGGGCTTGCACGGCTGGGATCTTGGCATAGTACGCATGTTCCCACTCAGCCGCTCGTCGGAGTAGAGCCGGAGCGTGATGATTGTCGGTGGCAGAAAGATGCGAGCACAAGTCAACAATGCGATTGGTCAGTTGCTCATGCCTTTCTGCAAGACCTTCAAAGTCTTTCGGCAGGGGTATCTTTACGTCTTCTGCTGATTTCTTATTGGTCAAGTCAAGAATATCCCTTTCGAGGCCTTCTCCATCAGCAATGAGATCCTGCAACAGCTTTATAGCTGGACCTTGGCGTTTGAGCAAGTCGGTAAGCTGGATGTGTTAACTAATAATTCACTAGATTGCGTTCATCAATACTTACTACATGACGAACGACCTCGGCAGCCGCAATAGCTGACTTGTCGGTAAGAGCAGGGGTGATTGAGCTATCCAAAGAGCGGATTGCAAGAGATATGCCTTGAGCTGATGGATGGATTTTCATGGCTTTAGTATGGAAAGAGGACTGGTGTATTGATCAAGAGCACGACTCCATCACTTTATTAGAGTGCATAGCTCGAAGCACTTAATATCTACCAATCCCGGGGAAGGAGAAAGTGTGCTCCAGGGTTTACGGAGCGCCGGGTGATACGCCTCCGGGGCATTTGAGACTGCAGTCTTCGATCTTACCGCAAACAAATGGTTCTAGCTCATCTTGAAGAGTATTCTGGTATCCATAGTAATGGAGGGAAAGTCGAATAGGCTGAAACTGTATGCTGAGGTTAATTTAGCCTATACTTAAGAAATTCCTATGTAATCATTTCTTAGATATTTAGCTGAGTGGAACCCGGGACGATGGTGGAAAGAACTAGGGCGTCAATCCGGGGAGCATCCTTAGTAGATTCCGGGGAACCTTGTTGACATCCGAAATGCGGGGTTCACCAGTAGCCGGAATCTTAGCATCATATTTCCAACTTCCTTTTGAGCGATGGCACTCTGTTACTTCACTACTTTGCCCTTTGGAAGATATAGCTGTTGTTCGGCAGGTATTGGATCCGGTTAGCACTGCGGGATAGTGGACGAAATGAAAGAGCTAGGTGTTTGGGATGAAAGGATATCAACAATTAATTAGATGACAAGAAGCACAAATCGAGGCGCAAGAACACAAGAATGGATATAGTCAGTGGGATTTTACCGAAATTTTGTTAGTTTGGCCTGAAGTAGGATAATTAATGCCTCAGAAGCTCATTGAGTAGTTCCATCTTTCCTGACTTCATAATCGTCAAAAGGTCGTACTCCTACTCTCTTCCCCAGGTTCACCACAACAACGAACATGAATTCCGACGAATACAAGCCACCTTGCCATGTCAATCCCAACTCTCAAGCACCCTTCCCACCCCTCTCATCCTGCATCCCAATCACTGTATCAGGCGCCTCAGGATGGTCTTTCTTCGCCTTCGTGGTAGCGCCCTGACTGTCCGACTGCTCCGTTGCAGTACCACCTTGGCCAGTCGCCTTCGAACTAAACAGAATAAATCAGCATCCATCAATTGAGAAAAATCAGATTCAACTACGAGCTTTGAGCACTCAAACTCTGGATGTCTCAAACGTACTTCTTCCCCGAATGCGCCGAATGCGACTGCACGTCTAGCTTGTCCTTCTTGCTCGTCGCGTGTTCATCGTCGGGGTACTTGTCCGTCTTTGCGGACGAGTCTATCCGCAGACGTGTGGAGAGCGTGAACGGGCGGCTAGCGAGTGGGCGTGTGGTTGTGAGGGGACGACGGAGGGTGGACGAGAGAGCAATGCGGCGGTAGAAGGTGAGGAACTCGGAGGGAGACGGGGTGGCCATGGCGGTTGGCTGATACGATGGAGTCAATTGAGCGAAATCAGTGAGGTAGAGTAGAGTGAAAGGGTTGGAGTCTTGCTATGATGGAAATTGGAAATTGTGGGTTGAATTGAACTAAACGCAAAGCTACCTAACATGAGCGCCCATGACGATGTCACTAGACCCTGGACCTCGGGAAGAGTCTCACAGCAACGATGATGCATCATGACGCTATGACATTCACCAAAACGCGGGGCGTGGAGCCAGCCGGCTTGGCGCTTTTTTGGTGCAAGTCCAGCCGAGAAATTCAACACCATCCCACCAAGCACACTTCAAACATCACCAACATGGCCGACGAATTCCCCTGCAAGCTGTATGCACTATCTCTACTTCATCCTACGCCTAACAATGAGCTAACGGTTACAGAACCCTCCACCTCCCCTTCCCCACCCCCTCTCTCGCCAACACCGCTTTGCGCGCCCTCGCCGTAGACCAAGAACTCTCGCCCCTAGTGCGCCGCTCATTCGAACTCGTTACCCCGGACAAAGCCGCAGAGTCTGCAGAAAAGAATGTGCTCCAAGTCTCGTATTCTGCGACCACGAATCGCATGCTGCGGGTTGCGGTGAACGGGTTCTTTGAGAGCGTGGGGGTGGTTATTGGGGTTATGAGGGAGCTGGATGTGGATGTGGTTGATATGCCCGGGAGCGAGAGCTTGGAGGGGGCGCAGGGGATAGAAGGGGTGAAGGGGTGAGAGCGAGAGCGGGAGAACTGAGTTATGTACGATGGAACATCTGGAGATGAAGGTTCCGGGATGAGGGTTGGAGTGGAGCCCTCGGGAGTATCACATCGAGTTGAGCCGTCACGAGGACTACCATACTCGGTATAGTAGATGTAACGGAATATGCGTTGGGAAAGGGACACCACCAAGGCATACCACCTAGCATCATACGATTTCACGATTGCGGCTAAGACTAGGACGAGCCGCACGATATCCCCGCGTAGAAAATTGGACTATGACCAAAAGGGGATGCCACTTGAATTGACACCAACAGTTTAGATTATGGGCAAAGATATCTACAGAACTACAGTTCATAAATAGTCTCGTCCTGTCAGTGGAGTCACTCCGCTACCAAACAAACCCGAATGGAACTATATAATATCCCCAATTGTGCTTATCCAGATCAGTGATTCCGGTCGCCCTTGTGACTACACGCAGGCTTCAAGTGCAGCAATTGGACACCCAGATGATCTCCTCAAGACGGATATACCAAATGGCGTGATAAGCTCAATACAAACTCCCGAAATCCTCTTCGACCTTTTTCTCAGGCCCCTTGTCCAAGTCCTTGTACCCCGTGTCATCGTCGTCTTCCTCAGCAGCACCATCCAGCTGTGCCACGGTCCTCTTGCGTTTCTTCTTGCGTGCAGAGTAATCGACTTCCTCGGCCTCCGGTAGGGAAGCGGGTTCCGATGATACCCCTGGAGAACCTCCTGGCGCTTCAGGAGGCAGAGGCGGATAGAATGCTCCGTCTCTGACCGTCCATCCCTCATCTTGTAGCTGCTTCCACTCTCGCTTGACCTTGAACCTCACTAGTTCACCCGTAGCCCTAGCATCTTCTAAACTGTCGTGCCCGGCGGCACCGCCTTGCTGGATGTCCCAATCCAAATAATGCTTTGTGAGTCTGCGGAGCCCATTTCGGATAGGAAGCCCAGCAGGATGTGGAAAGAGGAGCACGGTGTCTACGATAGTGGGATGGATGAGGCGGACGGCATTTAGGTCGTTCTCGAGAGCGTGGCCAAGCAGCGGCGTGTTGACTGAAAGGTAGGAGCAAAGGAGATCCCGAGCAGCAGCTGGGTGGGGAACAATGTGAAGTGTCTTTGGATCTTTGGACACCTTCTCGGGGCCATATTCTGGGGCATCGAAGAAATGCGCCGGGTGCACACCCGAGAAACGAGTATTGAGATCGAGAATGGCGCCGACAGGGCGCACGAGGACATCGATTAGGGGTTCACCAGAGGGCCAGGATGTCGCTGTGAGGCGAATGAGTTCGAGACCGTAGCATGTATAGCCCATCTCGCAGTCAAAGCAGACAGCTGTGTTTGGTTTAGCGTTTTCGTTGAACTTTGTTTCTTCGAACTGCATCACCGCTGCAAGCCGTTTAGGCTCTGATATCTTGAAGACGTGGGTATCTCCAACAGTGCAGCCGGGCGACCCAATAAGCTCGTTGCAACAGGAGTATAGCGGCTGCGGACGGAGTGAGTCGGTCTTCTCTTTCTTCGGAAAGACTTTTCGTCCCCAGTGGTGGATGCATTTCCCGCCCGTTGTGAGAGCCCCGTCGTCGCGCCGGTCTGGGTATACTTGAAACCTCGAGGTACATCGGTCGCAGACCTCCCAGTTGTGCGCAGCGTCGATGCCTGCTTGAGCCGTCCTGATCTCTTCCTCCGTTGGTGCTTTGGTAACATAACCATGGGCGTCTAATCCATGCTGCCTCGCAACCATACGTTCAAGCATCATGACTTCTTCGTGTGGACTGAGACCGGTGACCACTGGCTCGACTTTCTTTTCTGTTGGCTCATCTTTCTTGTTTTTGGACTCCCGAATTGCGTGCCGTTCCTTTACCCAATCCACGACGGTCATCTTTTTGTATGCCATGATGCGCATTTTCATGATGTTAGAATAGACCAATGGCTGATCCAGAGCTATCTTCTCCTCTATCTCAAGAGCAAATCGAATGAGTTCATTTTCGGTCATGTGAAGGGGTTTGTGATCTGGACCCGATAACTTTTGCACCTCGCCGTTGAGCTTGACCAGGTACTGATGCAGAAGAATGATCAGTTGACGACGAACGGTGAATTCAGCCGGCTTTTTGGGTACGTCTCGTGGCATTAAGGATTCTTTCGGCTCATCTTTGATCGGCTGAGGGGGCCTATGTGCTGTCTTTCTGGAAGCAGAGGTAGGTGGGGGTGATATGCTTCTTCTCGCCGACTGCAGAGCTGTCTTGGATACTGGCGGTGCATTGTCTCGAGCAGCCCCTGCATTTATCGTTCTTCTAGGAGTGCCGTTGCCTGGCTTGGGCATAACAAACCCAAAAAACGGTATTGGCTCTACTTTTGGCTGTCTGGGGGAGTCATCTGCTGAGACCGGGGCCTTGGTACCATTATCAAGTCTTCGTCGTTTCAGATCGCCATGTTCATAGGGGTGACTTGAGCCGGTACCAATGGCTCCCCGACGACGTGGTCCGGTCGGAGGTGACCTGGGAGCATCGTGACTGAAGATGCAATTGGGCAGCCGGCACGTGTCTTTCTCCGGACAAGGTACGTTGGGGAATAGACATTTGGTGGGCCACATCTTGGATGCTATGCCGATGCTCTATCTAGGTCCCGGGGAAACAGGGGCCGAAGTTCGGCGGACGTTGCCAAGACGTGGGGACGCCAACAAACGGTGATGCCCAAGGCTGCAGAGTGAATATGCTGTGGGGTGAGGGAGCTCTGGTCGCTAGCAAACGCAAGAAAGACACGATGCCTCCCTGGAGACTAGGCCAGCTGCAAGTGAGAGACAGCTAGTGGTGGAGGCTTTGGTCCACTCGGGGGGTTCGATTGGCGGTGAATGGCGGCCGACCAGCTGAGACTGGGCTGAGTCACGTGCCTCACACTCTCCCGAGGTGATGGAAGAGCGGCGTCTGACTGATTGACGTTTGCCAGTGTTTTCGATAAGGCCGAGATTGTTGGCGGGAAACTCTGGAATGCGCACTGCAGCAGCCGTGCCGCGGGTCGAAGATAAGAAGGACGCGCCGTCCGCTCCAGTCAACAGTCACTTTGCTTGCCCTTCCACTCGGCGCCCGTTGCAACGACTCTCGCTCTCTTTCGTGATAGCTGTTGGCTGGACCCTGAGGTGTGGTTGCGGCTCTTCCAGGAAGGCTGACGGGCCCTTCCCGAGTGGCTGGATCTTTTCGTCCGTCCGCGTCACACCTGGGCACCTAGGCGGCGTTATCAGCCCCGGCCCGTATCATTCACGCCACAGTCTCGGGCAGAGCGGGCGACCGAAAGGTCACCCGCCGTCTTAAAGACACCACGGCGCTCCCCTTCTCCTTCGGCAGCATAAACTCTTCCATTCTGACATCCCCCGCCCAAGGAATGGACACCGCGAGCCACCAATCCACCGCTGCCGATCACTTATGCGTCCTTGTTCATGGGTAAGAATAGCTGCTGCGAGCGTGCATCATCGTGCGTCTGGCCTCACGCGACCGACCTTCTAGGCACAATCACTGTACTTTTGCTGCTCGCCTACCTAAGACTATCGCTGACTGTTCGCCGTAGACTTTGGGGAAACCCGCAGCACCTTGAATACCTTGCGAAGAGCCTCCGAGAAAAGTATCCCGAAGACCGGCTCCACGTCCTAGTGGCCAAGCGCAATGCCGGGAGCTTCACATATGATGGCATCGAATTGGGCGGAGAGCGCGTCACAAAGGAGATTGAGGAAACTCTAGAACACCATGCCAGGAACGGAACTGAGATTAAGAAGCTTAGCATAGTGGGATAGTACGTGGCCTCTCTGCATAGAAGAATGCGGCTGATCGGGCGAAGCTCTCTAGGTGGTCTAGTATCGAGATATGCAATCGGCCTTCTGTATCACAAGGGATACTTTGACAAATTGGAGCCAGTCGTACGTCTTCCCGGCTCGAAGCTCTCTGCGCACTTGCTGATAATACAAAGAACTTCACGACCTTCGCAACACCCCATCTAGGCGTCCGAACCCCTCTTGTTGGATACCATAACCACATCTGGAATGTGCTGGGGGCGAGGACTCTATCTATGTCAGGAAGACAGCTCTTCACTATTGACTCTTTCCGAGATACGGGGCGGCCGCTTCTATCGGTCCTGGCAGACCCAGACAGCATCTTCATACGAGCATTGTCAAGATTCAGGCATAAATCCCTGTACGCCAACATCGTAAACGACAGATCTGCCGTATACTACACCACCGGCATATCCCGAATCGACCCCTTTGTCGACCTGGAGAACATCAAGATCAACTATGTCGAAGGCACTGAACAAGTCATCATCGACCCGGATAATCCCATTTCCCCCAAAGAAGAATCCGGATCCTTACCAGCCTTCTCAACACGCTTGACCAACAGCACCCGCACCATTTTAGGCCAAGTTCCCCTTATAGCCCTCCTCACCGTCTTGATTCCAATTGGTACCGTCATATTCCTGATCAACTCCGGGTTCCAATCCGTCCGCAGCCGCCAGCGCATCCGCATGCACGAATCTGGAAAAGCAGGCATCGACATCGGCGGCTACCGCATTCCGCTAATCTTCGACGACGTGCGCCGCGAGGCCGAGGAAATGTTCGAGAACATGAACAACCTTCAAAGCCAGGAATACCTCCCAGCAGGGAGCGAGGAATTAGCGTCACCGCGAAGCGCGCCCAGCTCTCCCACACTCTTACGCGCTGACTCCTCGCCGATGGCGAAAGTTACTGACAACAGCGCGGGTGATGACGACTCAATTGTCGAGCAGAAACAGCAGCTGGTCCGCTCGCTTGAGTTTCCGACGCTGGCGCTCACGCCGGATCAGTTTGCGATGATCCAAGCACTGGACGACGTTGGATTCAGAAAATACCCGGTCTACATTCATAATCATAGACACAGCCACGCTGCCATCATTGTTCGCATGGACAAGCCAGCCTTCGGCGAGGGAAGGATAGTAGTCGAGCATTGGTTGAGCGAGTTCGCCATCTAGAATGGGTGTTTTGGGATGCGTATCGAAGCTTTTGCAGAGTTGATTGAGATGAGCGTTAGAGGGCATCAGAGTGGTTTTATCGTCAGTCTCAGGCCGGTCATCTGAGCGTTCAAGCATCGGTTCGGTGCGACTGGCCGTATTTCTTGTCTTGTGATTGCCACAGCGATTTCGGATTTTCTCATGGCGTTTGTCCTGTACGTAGAGCGTAGACGGAGTAGGGGTACTGTGTGATTATTTTTTTCTGGCTCCCTTAGCAACATTCAGCAATCAGTCACTTCACACACTGCTCAGACATGTTTCAATAGCGAACAAAGATCATGATTCCGCTTCGAATATACACAGTCACCAGATCGATCCTATACGCAGAGAGTCTAGCCAACTCCGCCAATCTGTCTATAAATCGCCTAGACTCGGAGATGAACAAAGCCGAAAGAAGAAAAAGGCTAAACTCCGTGTTTATAGAGAGTTTCGTTGCGCAGTTCTAACCCAGCCAGACCAGGGAAGACAGAGAGGTAAAAGGGCGTGAAGATATAGCATTACAGGAGGTGTTTAAGAAGGTAGAAAGGGTATTCTACAAACCAGTTGGCTTAGCGAGGAGGTGGCGGAGGGGGTTTGGAAGGATGTGGAGGAGGGTGGACGGGCGATCTACTCTCGGGACACGTCGCGGCCGAAGATCTTGGCTTTCGCCCAGTCTAGGATCACGAGGATGCGGTTACGAGCTGTGCTAGTGGTCAGTATGGCGTTTTCTCGAGTGCATTGATATTGGGAAAGGAGGACTCACTGCTGAAGCACATGCTCAGATACGCGCTCTGCCAGAAGAAGTAGGTCAGAGTTCCTCCGGTCGCAAAGTTGCCAGTCAACCAGCTGATATCGGCAACGGCCTTCTCAGACCCGATGTAGGCTAGCGAACCCTGGTGCGAATACTCGAATGGGCCCATCTGTTTGACCCTGCGGAGCCGCTTCTGCAGTTCCTTGATCTCGGTGAAGACCTGGTCACGTGTCTCCTTGTTCGGGGCGGTCTCCTGGGCGGCTGAAAGCTTCTTCAGCTCCTGGTCGATCTCCTCCGTCTTCGCCATCTGATTGAAAAGGCGGGCGAGGAAAGCGCCTTCTTGAGCGGCCACTTGGGCGGTGGGGGCGTAGTTGGCAACAGCGCAGTCACCTACGGCCCAGATGCTCTCAGTTCCCTTGACGACAAGGTATTCGTTGACGGCAAGGCCACGGCGGGAGTCCTTCTGGGCGGGGATCTGCATCATGAGGTCCTTGACGACGGGGCGCAGGGCATTACCCGTTGCCCAGACTAGCAAGCCGAAGGGAATCTTCTCCAAAACCTTCTTGCCATCAGGACCGACTGACTCGGCTTCGATGTACTTGTCGGTTACGTTCTTTACCATGGTCTTCGTCCGGATAGTGATAGTTTCTTCTTTGAAAGTCTTCTCAGTGTATTCAATCAGTTGCTTGGAGAACATGGGGAGAACCTGTGATCTGTTAGCTTAGGTTTATTAGGCTCGTATGCATCTCGTACGTTTGGAAGAGCCTCGACAAGGGTGACGTGGAAGTTGCTCTTGATGTCTGGTATCCACTTCTTCAGATCGTCATTGAAGAAATCCTGGAGCTCTCCGGCGAACTCGACACCAGTCGGACCACCGCCAACGACCACCATATGTAGTAGTCGCCTGATTTCGTCCTGTGACTGGTCCTTGAATGTGGCAGTTTCGCAGCAGTCCATAATCCGCTTTCGGATTGCCTGGGCATCCCCGACTTCCTTCAAAAAGAGGGCGTTCTCGCGCACACCGGGTATACCTATAATACATTAGCTAAGAGATTCATTAGCATGGGCTCGGGTAATAGTACCAAAAGTAGCGTTCTCGGCTCCAACACCGACGACAAGCATGTCAAAGGGGACCTGTGTCGCGCTCGAGTTTCCTTTGATTTCCGACTTGTCGCTGATGTACACGACCTTCTTTTGGTAATCGATCTTTGTGGCTTCGGCTTCGTAGAACTTGACGGCCGCTTTCTTGTGACGCAGGAAATTCCGAATGGGCTCCATGATGGAGCGATGCTCGATGGTGCCCGTCGTACATGAGGGCAGCAGGGGTGTGAAGAGGAAGTAATTGCGCGGTGACACCACTACGACGTTGTAGTTCTCGGTGTCGAGCTTCTTGAGCAGCGATACAGCTCCCCAGCCGGTTCCGAGAATGACCAGTGTCTTCTTGCTTGGATCAGGGTCCGGCTGGTCATTGGGGTTCCGCATCACCCAAATGCCATAGCCAGTGTATACAAGACCTCCCAGGACGGACAAGTAGGTCGCTCTCCACATCCATCTCAGCACGCCGAATCTCCTTTTCGGGGCGGCTTTGGCAGCAGGGCTCTCCGTCGAGGCTCGCCGTATGGACTGGCGTAGGGCGATCTGATGGAAAACGGGACGCGAAGCTCCGCGCGCCCTGTTGGCAATGACTGAGGGCCGGACGGTGGTGAAGGTACGGCGGCCGGCGTGCTGGAGCTGGGCCAGGGCGGAGTGGGCGACAAAGGGGCGCATCGCAGAAGCCATTGGGAGTCCTCGAGGAAAGAGGAGCCTTGAGATGGCGGGGGCGAGTAGATATGGATATAGGGAGGGCGAAATGGGGTGGTGGTGAGCGCAGTTAAAAAGTTGCTTGCGATGACGCCCGGACGAGATGGGGAGCTCACCCTTGTCGTTGCTTTTCACGACTAGATAAGCGGCATCTGCCCCAATAAACAGCGGTCTTACATGCCCGCCGCCGCGAGACGGGGCGCCTTTTCCTTAGCCAGGTGCAGCGCAACCCACGCGGTATTTTGCTGCGGGTCAAATTTTCAGGTCATCGTCCAGCGCTCCAGCGCCCACGCAGACACCGCTGTGCTTTCTCATCCTCCTCATCTGTTCACCGGCCTCCCAATTGACAACCTCTGTACCCAGCTACTCAGACATCCCGCGAATCTCCGGCCCATGGGACTGGTCGCCGGAGACGTGGAGCATCGACGGGAGCCTGGCTTCTCACTGGTGCGCCTGAGGTGTACAAGTGGCGGGTGAAGGGGGATCTTGATCCACCTCCTCGTTCACGACCTACCAGATGCCCCGATGCACATAACATTGAGGCTCAACGGAACCTGACCGACGGGTGCGAGTCTAAAATAGATCTGGCGCTCTTGGAGCATTGTGGATCCCCTCAATTCCGCACCGGTTCCGTCCGATCACCGCTGCTTCAACGTTGAACATGGAGCTTGTAATTGGCGCGTGTAATTGGACATGTCTGAATGAGCCCTGGAGCTCAATCGTCTTAAGACTCGCAAACGCTGTTGCCGTCGTAGTTATGTCTTTGAAAAAGAAGTCATGGGAACTGTAATATGCTCCGACTACTGAGGTCGAAAGATTGGTCCCTCTTTAGCTAAGTTTGGCACCTCGACAAATCGAAGTCAACGAATTCACTGAGCATTCTTTATATTTTGAATACCAAATAGGCCTATCGTGGCTTTAGAAGCAATGTGTTTTATTGATTGAGGTGCTTTACATGATAAAACTTGTAGACGGTTGCTTTTTCGGGTAACCACATAATAACGACGATCTTTCTCCGAGTTTCAGTATGAGTTCAGTTACCCCATGCAGTGCCAAAGACATGCATCGGGGCTGCTTTCTTACTGGTTTGTTTCTAGCGGAGAGGTGAGTAAGTTTCTCCAAAGTTCCGTACCTCATCAGTCTATTCTCCATAACTTTACTCTTACAACGCAAACGCAACTATAGAAGCGAAGGAACATTCACCAATTCTCGTAAAATGCGCTACTAGTAATAACAAAATCTCCACGGCCTCGTCTAGTGGCATTTTCTCTTTCTTTCTGGGTGTGTGTCGGAGTTTTGGTGTGGGCGGAAGTGCTTTAATATCAGATGAAGAGGTAGACCGTGCGACAAAGCTCACCACACCATAATATGATTGCATATTGACCACTTTCTATTATTCAAGAACTTTAAAGTCCTCTAGAGGCGCTATCCGAAGGTCAAGCGGTAAGAACTTGGAAGCGGCTGTGCGTGCCAAGCTGTTCATGGAGAGAGCTGAAGTCAGCGCGATTCAGCCCTCGACCTCGCCGAGCAAACACCATACGAGGATAAAACAACTCTTAGCCGGTGAGACAAACGGCGAAGTGTGTAGTGCTTTACGAGAGGCCAAGTTACCTAAGCTGGGGTACCCATAGTTGGGTAGCAGCAAGAAGCTGTACTAGCTTTGGACCACCTCGCATTGTACCTTGTGTGCCACTAGAGCGGAACTATAGCATTGATATAAAGTAGCAGTCGCGCTCGCATGAAAGGGCTGTATACTTGCCTGATTTTCTGCAGCCCAGACGAAGAGTGTGGTTTGATGGTCGATCATTACTCTCCAAAATGATCAACTCATTCGCTCTCATTTCTTTGCTCTTCGCATGCTTTTCAGCTGCTGCACCCTATCCCACTCGCCAGCGCCATCCCATAAACCGACGAGATGTTAGTAGACTCCAGCCAACTCCGCAATGCTATCCTACCCTGACCCCCTCAGATTGATACCGACCCCTCCCACTGTCCCAATTTCTGCGCCGGCACGAACTCCACCGACAACTCAACCCTTTACATCTGCGGGGACCCCCGCCTAGGCCCCGTCTCCCTCCCCACCGCCCTCCCCCTGGCATCGCTCGCAGGAAGCGCTTCGTCCTACCACCGATTCGGCGGTATGTGTCCCGGTGACTTCCTCGCCCGCTACACGGACCCTACCACCGGTTTCTTCGTCTACCCGATCCTCAATGGCTTCCATACCAGCACCATCGGCGCGCCTATCGCTGCAAATATGACGCTCCAGCGCGGTACGCTGCTCGATCGCTTCGGAAGTGAACGCGGAAATTTCATGTCGCCTGCTGGCTCGCCGTATGCGCAGAGATCGCTGCCACCGAGCAATTTAGATGCGGCGCCTGGTGCGGAGTTCCCATGGAACTACCACGTTTATGAAGTCGAGGTACCTTTTGTAGTGCTGGCAGGTCCAATTGCGCCGTGGTTTGGACAGGTGGGATTGGGGGTACAGTTTCAGATGGAAAAAAGTGTGCAGAGGTTAGTGGAAGGTGGGTGGATTGGTAGAGTGAATTTGACGGCTGTGAGTTGAGTGGAAGAAGAGGTAGAATGTGATGAGATGTAGGCGATGAAAAGATGAGTTCAACGACGTCTGTGTTGGGGGAAGAAAACGATGATGAAGAGCTACGTGGAAGAAGCATATAGTTCAAGTAATACGAGAGCGACTATAGGTTACAGACTCGCGTCTCGCAAAAGCCCTAGCGGAGCTGTGCGGTACTCCTTCCTGTGCGCTACCTTTGACAGTAATCGCGCCGCTTCAACACGTTCTCAGTAATCTGAAAATACCTAGATCCTGTGCCGGCAATACGGTAATTGGCATTCAGTTGCTCCAGATCGATTAGCTCGTTAACTGGACCCTTTAAAGAGGTCGACCCTAGCAATGTATGTCAGCTAGAGTGGCGTTCAACCAGTGACCACGTGGTGTTCAACTTATGTTCGAAGACCGTACTAGCGAAGTTGCGGGATAAGGAACTGTTCATGCAAATAAGAATGGACGAGCTTAATTACCACCCCCCTATTCTCTCCGCATCACCCCCCTTTTCTCTTCCTGCCACCCCCCCTACATCTAGCCTAGCGCCGGCCCGTATTAAT